GCAAAAGAAACATTTCTATCAAGGTCAAAGGCAGCGGGTGGTCTGCAGCAGCACCCTGAAGAACCCTCTTTTCCTTGTTGCCCATCCACCTCCTTTTTGCAACCCACCTCAGAACTTTTGATTCTGTCTGCCAATTGTCCAAAGCTTCCCCTAACCTGACCACTGGTTCTAACATTTTAAAGTAGAGGGAACTGACTCAAGATCCCAAAAAGCCATCTAATATACTCATTCCTTTTTCTTTATTTAATTTTTTAAATTAAGGTATCATTGATACACACTCATATGGTTTCACATGAAAAAACAATGTGGTCACTACATCTACTCATATTGTGTCCCCCCATACCCCATTGTAGTCACTGCCCATTAGTATTGTAAGATGCCATAGAGTCACTATTTGCCTTCTCTGTGCTACACTATCTCCCCCCCTCATGATTCCCCCCACACCATGTGTGTCAATCATAATACCTCTCAATCCCCTTCTCCCTCCCCTCCCCCTCCCCTTTGGTAACCACTAGTCCCTTCTTGGAGTCTGTGTGAGTCTGTTGCTGTTTTGTTCCTTCAGTTTTTCTTTGTTGTTACACTCCACAAATGAGGGAAATCATTTGATGCTTGTCTTTCTCTGTCTGGCTTATTTCACTGAGCATAATATCCTCCAGTTCCATCCATGTTGTTGCAAATGGTAGGATTTCTTTCTTTCTTATGGCTGAATAGTATTCCATTGTGTGTATGTACCACTTCTTTATCCATTCATCTACTGATGGATACTTAGGTTGCTTCTATATCTTGGTTATTGTAAATAGTGCTGCAGTAAACATAGGGGTGCATATGTCTTTTGAATCTGAGAACTTGTATTCTTTGGGTAAATTCCTAGGAGTGGGATTCCTGTGTCAAATGGTATTTCTATTTTTATTTTTTTGAGGAACCTCCATATTGCTTTCCACAATGGTTGAACTAGCTTACATTCCCACCAGCAGTGTACGAGGGTTCCCCTTTCTCTGCATCCTCGCCAACATTTGTTGTTCTTAGTCTTTTGGATGCTGGCCATCCTAACTGGTGTGAGGTGATATCTCATTGTGTTTTTAATTTGCATTTCCCTGATGATTAGTGATGTGGAGCATCTTTTCATGTGCCTGTTGGTCATCTGAATTTCTTCTTTGGAGAATTGTCTGTTCATATCCTCCACCCATTTTTTAATCGGGCTACTTGTTTTTTGGTTGTTGAGGCGTGTGAGTTCTTTATGTATTTTGGATGTTAACCCCTTGTAGGATCTGTCATTTACAAATATATTCTCCCATACTGTAGGATGCCTTTTGTTCTGTTGATGGTGTCATTTGCTCTACAGAAGCTTTTCAGTTTGATGTAGTCCCATGTGTTCATTTTTGCTTTTGTTTCCCTTGCTTGAGGAGATGTGTTCAGGAAGAAGCTGCTCATGTTTATGTTCAAGAGATTTTTGCCTATGTTGTTTTCTAAGAGTTTTATGGTTTCATGACTTACATTCGGGTCTTTAATCCATTTCGAGTTTACTTTTGTGTATGGGGTTAGACAATAATCCAGTCTCATTCTCTTGCATGTAGCTGTCCAGTTTGCCAACACCAGTTGTTGAAGAGGCTGTCATTTCCCCATTGTATGTCCATGGCTCCTTTATCATATATTAATTGACCACATATGGTTGGGTTTATATCTGTCTGGGCTCTCTAGTCTGTTCCATTGGTCTGTGGGTGTGTTCTTGTGTCAGTACCAAATTGTCTTGATTACTGTGGCTTTGTAGAAGAGCTTGAAGTCAGGGAACATAATTCCCCCAGCTTTATTCTTCCTTCTCAGGATTGCTTTGGCTACTCAGGGTCTTCTGTGGTTCCACATGAATTTTAGTATACTCATTTCTTAAACTTGGTTCATCTCAGCTGAATGCTAGGAGAACAACTGAGTTATCTGTTAAAGGGAGCCCCATTATGGAATGATTTATCAAGTAACATTCAGAGTTATCTGCATTACATACTGGGTATGAATTCCCCAGAATTTCAGATCCATGGAGTCTTTTAGGGGATATTTGTGAGTAGGAGGATTCCCAAGCTCTCTAGGTGATTCTGGAAATGGTGCCCTTCTTGCCACCCTCTAGTGGAACCAAAAACTCTTCTCCTAGATGTTTACATGACCCTTTAAAATTTCTAAGATACAAGGTTTTGTGGGAAATGGAAATGGTTATTCTCCATTTTGCATAGAGTTTTTCACCATGTGGTATAAGGATTACCTTTGGGCCTACCTGGGGAGATTTTCAGCCCCACTTCTGATTTACTGCATCAGAATCTTCCAGTTGGGCTCAGGTACCTATTCTAACCACCTCCCCCAGATGACTTTTACATGTGCATTAGTTTACTAACCACTAATTAAGGGGATAATTTTGAAAAATCAAGCATAGCTTCATTTGGATTGTTTGATTCCTTCCTATTATAGACCACAGACGGGAACTTGACAGGGTATCATGTAAAAATATAATTATAAGAAGATCAAATATAATTTTTAGGAGACTAATAATTAACAAATCTATTCACAAGATTGTATGTCCTTTTGTTGAAAATTATATGGAAACGTTTCAGTGAATTATATGTGTGAGATGTCTCAAAGAATTCTTTGGTGGATGTTGTTCAATCCTGCCTTGCCTTCCATAAAATTAACCAGCTGGCCAAAGTTTTTACTATGCTACCCACACATGAGTCTCCAGTAATCCCTGAGGCATTCTCTGAATAAGCCTCATTTCCTGTACAAAAGGAACTGAGTTTGGTCAGCTGTACAGAACTTGGGCTAATTAAACTGTTCATCAAGAGAGACTGTGAATTCTGTACCTTAGAGATGTTCTAAAATAGGAAATACAATCATCTTTTTGGGTGAGTAGAGTGTACAGTAGCTTGAAGTTAGAGGATCCAAATAGAGGGCCTTCTAAGATTCTTTCTAGTTTTATAATTTGACTAAATCACCTCTCCATCCAATTGAATATCAACTTGTTTTTGTTTGTTTCATTTTTTTTTTTAATTAGCTGAGCTTGGCAAGAATTCCTTGCCTCTCTCTGATAATAGCCTCTTGAGAATCCTTTACAAAAATACAGTTTAGATGCACATAAATACAAAGAAGGAAATCATTTAAGTGATGATTATACCCCACTCAGATAACTGAGATACCAAATAGCATTTTTCATTGGAATTATTTGGTTTGGCCAAGTGATTCATTGGAATTATTTGGTTTGGCCAAGTGATTAACAACATGCCAGGTTGCATGCGCAGTGCTGACAGAGGAGAAAGAAAATATCAAAGGGTACAGTTGGGTTGCTGGGATCTGTACAATGCTGGGAACATCTAAGCATCCGGGAATCAGTAACAGTAATTAAAGAACTGACTATAAGCCATCTTTCACAAACTAAAAATCTCTTCTGGAGGGTGACAAGTTGATAATCTAAGGGAAGAACTCTTATTTAAATCTTCTAAGGCTAATTCTGTGAAACTATAGTACAAACTGGTAAAACTTTTAAAACCACATTATTATCTTTCCTTCAAGAAACCATGGAAAAATCTTGTATTTTATTTAAAAGTATGAACTTCCATTCCTGTTACCATATTTGGATTTGTTCCAGTGTATCTGTGGAACCAGGCACCTAATAATTTTTGCTAAGCATTTCTTACATTTCTTGAATGAAAATGGGACAGATTCATGGGATAGTAACTAGACTTTTAGAAGATACTTGTGATTTTGTTATTTTCTCTGTGTTCTGATGACTATAGAGAAACAGGATAGTGTGAGATTAGGGAAGATAAACAGATAGGAGTTCTATTCAGACTAGGTTCTAGAAGTAGAGCTTCACTTTACTGTACAATTAGAGGCTGAAGGAGCTTTTTAAAGCTTCTTCCAAAACATTTTGATCTAACAGAATGGCTAATCATTTACCACCATAAATACACAGTTAACCAGTGTATCCTGACCTTTAAGAGATTTTTTTTGTTTTTGATTTAAAAGGAATATGGAAATCTGAATTGCATTGTGTTAGTCCTTCCAGGTGTGAAAAATTAAGAGATGGAGCTGGGAGGCCGGCTGAGGGACCTGTCCTGCCCACCACGCCTTACGAATTGCAGACCCAATGGGAGGGAGGAGACTGGTTTAGCTACCTAACGGCTCAGCAAGTGGAAGGAAGGTTTCCTCTACTTCAGTAACAGCCCAGCCAATGAGAGACTGTCACAAGTCAGCCAATGAGAAGCCAGGATACTTGGAACTCCCCCAGTTTACTCCCATGGACTTTTATTAACAGCCCCTCCCAAGTCCACCCGTTACTCTATAGAAGCATTCCTTTACTCTGTGGACTTACCTAAGGTTTTGCCGGGTCTCGTTAGTCCTGAATTGCAATTCTCTGGTGTTCCCAGATAAGCCCGGTTTTCGCTGGTTAAAATAACTGAGTTTTATTTTTAAGGTTGATGAAGTCCAAGTGGCAATGGGTGAACTGGGAACAAAGTCACATGTTTTTAACTAAATAAACTGATATCCAAGTGCCAGAAAATTAATTTCGAGTGTACTGTCCATAAATTTATGGGAAAGCCCTGTAAACGCCACAACGGATCTCGCAGACATCCGAGTTAGCACCATGTTGCTGGAGGGGGGAGGCCCGGCGCTTCGGCAGGGCTGGTGGAGTTAAAATTTGAGGAAACTGAAGAAAGGCACCAGCGGTAGGGCCTCTTCCATGGTCTCTGACGAAAAACGTTGCGGGAGAAGTAAAACCGCCCCAAAGTCCCCAGGGTTCCTTACTCTGGGCTCTGGTTCGCGGAGACACAAGCCGTTGAGGGGCGCGACGGTCCCCTAAGATTTACATCCAAAGGCGCGCAGGGCGATCGCTCGCTGCGCGCCCGCAGCGCCGCCTGAAGCCAGCGCGAGCGACAGAGCCCCGCGCCGCCGCGCTAACGGGCGTCGCCGCGAGCCAACGAGCGTGCCGGGAGGCGGGGCAAGGAGGCAGGGGGGCGGGATTTCCCGCTCGGCTGCAGGGGAGGGCTGCGCGGGCGGCGACGGTGTCGGCGCCTGCGAGAGGGCGGGCTGGGCTGAGCTGCTGTGGGCGGCCGCGGTGTTCGCTGCCGCCCTCCTTCCACCACGATGCCGGGAATCGACAAGCTGCCCATCGAGGAGACGCTGGAGGACAGCCCGCAGGTGAGGCGCGGGCGGCGGGGGAGGGCGCGGGGGGGCCGACCAGGGCCTGTGCCGCCGGGGCCGCAGGTGCCGTCCCGGCCCAGGTGGGCGCCGCCGCCCTGCCCCGCCCGTCGCGGGCCGCGCCCTGCGCTGCTGGGGCCGGCCGCCCGCCGAGGTCCGGGTGGGCCTGCGCTGCTGGGCCGAGCGCCTTCGCGGGATCTGGGCCGTCGGTGGGCGGCGACCGAGCCGCTGCCGCCTTTGCCGGGGGCCCGGGGTCACGTCCGCGCGGCGACTCGTGTTTGACCGAAAGTGTGTCGTTAGCGCCGTGCGGCGAGTGATCTGTCCCGAAGATGTCTTCGGAGAAGACGCCCGGCAGGCTTATTTAATGCTTTCTGACCCAACTGGGGGAAGGAAAAGGGCCCTTTTTCTCGGCGGATGCCGGAAGGCTGTGGGTTCGCGGGTGCGGAGCGTCCCCGCGCGCGGTCGGGCCGACCTGTCACCCGCTGTGCGCGGCGTGGGAGGGACGGCGCCCGTGCAGGCTGGGTCCTGGCCCACTCACCAAAATAAAAGCCCGTGTTTGTGCTTCGCGGTGATGCTGGGGTGGTTGCTCTACAGTCAAGAGACAGGCTAGGAAGACGTAACGATTTCTTAGGTTTTCGATACAGAGGGTGAAGTCAGCTCTGTAAAAGACTGTCACTGGCACGGCGAAACTTCCTCCCGAAGCCTTCCTTTTAACAATAACTGAAGCGATCGGAGAAGACGATGTTGCTAGTTGGCTACCACTTAGAACGAAGAGGATTTTCTGAAAAGTGCATTTAGAACCACGTTCGCACATATTTCATGTTGTCTTCACAGTTTAGTATGGCCCCAAAAGGAGAAAAGGGTTAGATTTCCCTTTTCCTGTGTGACACGTCTGCCATGGGATGTGTGCCAGTTTTAATTGCCAAGTTGAAATTGGGCCCTGATTGTGGAATTGATTTGGGTGTTTTAATGCTAAAGATAAGGCCACTAGCCAGTTGCTTGCTGGTAATGCACTCTTATCGGCCTTTACGGACACAGAAACGCCTGTCTTGGCTTATCTTCACCGCCAGTTCAGATTCTTCATGATTTATAACTTCGTGATGTAAAGTCTAAGCTCTATGTGTTTCAGACGTTTTGCAAAAATGTTGTGGGATGTATTGGTCAGGTGCACTTTGTCCTTTCACTTTATTATATAAGACTCAACAGGTTACCTCACCTTTTTTCTTTTATCTGGTCTTGCTTTTATTGCCCATAAAGATGATACACAGCTCAGAATGGGTAGCATGATGCCCTTGCCATGATTAGTGAGGAGGATATAAATGTCTTGACCCATCTGCCTAATTTCTTGAACTTTTCACACAATTAGTTTACAACTTGAGTATTTTTTTCTGTTTACAAGCATGTGCCACATTCGTATCAGTTGTACAGTACCTTGAATGAAATAGCCATACTGATACTCTTCCAATTTCAAGAAATAATAAATTTGAACTAGGTAGCATTCAGGAGAATTAGTTGTGATAACTGGGACTTAGAATGGAAAGATGCTTGAAAGTAATTCTTAGGAGGAAACGGTTGCAAGAAGGAAAGCCTGGGATATGGGATTCAGAATGTAAGGGTTTTTAGTCTGCACTGCTACTTAGTACCTTCTGCTTTAGGGCAAGTCACTCAGCTTCTCTGAAGCTCAGCTGTTATAGATAGTGAATGTTTTTATTTTTGTACCTACTAGAAAAATGTTTGTTTCAGAGAAATTGGAAGGTACAGAAAACACACTGTAATCCTATTAACAGCTTGCTTTCTTTTCTCTAGTTTTTTTTCTTAAGCATTTTAATGTAATTGAGATTACAGTGTGCATAATTTTTATTTGGCTTTAACCACCTTATAGCTTAAGTATCTTCACATACTATATTCTGAATGTAACTCAGAATGTTTCCTTAACCGATATAACAGTTTGTCCTGTTGTTGGACTTTTAGAGGCTTTCCGTAGATTAATGCTTTTGACCATATATTTTTGTTCTCTTTGGACTATTTAGGATAGGAGCTGAGTAACAAAGAGTATGAAAAAGTTGAAACCTCCTAATATAGATAAGTTTTTATTAGATCATTTGCTTTTAATCAAAAGTGGCCTGCCATTTGCTATGTAAAAAGTTAGAACCTGGGATTCACGAAAGACTATCCTGAATTACAGTTATCCTTTTTTTAAAAAGGGGAAAATTTGTTCATCCAAATCCAGCTGATCAAACAAACATTTTTAGAATTCTTGCCCAAGCCTACTAGTCTGCAAGAGATCATATTATCTGTTGAGGCAACAGTGTTTTTTCTTTTTTTATTGCAGTATCATATCTTATGTTAGTTTCAAGTATACAACACAGTGGTTCAACAGTTACACATATCATTAAATCCTCCCCCCAACAGTGCAGTTACTATCTGTCAATATAGGAAGATGTTACAGAATCATTGACTATATTCTCTACCCTGTACTACTATCCCTGTGACCAACTTATATTATGATTGAGAATTTTTGTGCCCCTTTATCCCCCTCACTCTTCCCCTTCCCCAACCCCACCCTCCAAGGTAACCACCAGTAACTTCTCAGTATCTATAAGTCTACTGCTATTTTGTTCATTTTGTTTTATTTTTATATCCACAAATAAGTGAAATCATATGGTACTTGTCTTTCTCCTGCCTGGCTTATTTCACTTAGCATAATACCCTCTAGGTCCATCCATGTTGTCAAAAATGGCAAGATTCTTTTTAATGGCTGGATAATATTCCATTGCACATGTATACCACATGTTTATCCGTTCATCTGTTGATGGACACTTTGGTTGCTTCCACAGCTTGGCTATTGTACATAATGTGATAATGTACATAGGGGTGCATATATCTTTTCAAATCAGGGGTTTTGTTTTCTTCAGGTAAATTCCTAGAAATGGAACTACTGGGTCATTTGGTTTTTCTATTTTTAGTATTTTGAGGAACCTCCATACTACTTTCCACAATGGTTCTACCAATTTATATTCCCACCCAAAGTGAAGGAGGGTTCCCATTTCTCCACATCCTTGCCTTGTTATTTCTTGTCTTTTGGATGGTGGCCATTCTAACTGGAGTGAGGCGATATCTCATTGTGGTTCTGATTTGCATTTCCCTAATGATGAGCGATGTGGAGCATCTTTTCATGTGCCTGTTGGCCATCTGAATTTCTTCTACAGAGAAGTGTCTTTTCAGGTCCTCCACCCATTTTTTAATCAGGTTTTTTTTTGTGTGTGTGTATGTGTGTGTGTTGAGGTGTATGAATTCTTTATATATTTTGGATGTTAACCCCTTAATGGTGAACCATTTGTGAATATATTCTATACTGTAGGTTGCCTTTTGTTCTGCTGGTGTCCTCTACGGTACAGAAGCTCTTCAGTTTCATGTAGTCCCACTTGTGCATTTTTTATTGTGTTTCCCTTGCCCAAGGAGATGTGTCCAGGAAAAAATTGCTCATGCTTATGGTTCAAGAGATTTTTGCCTATGTTTTCCTCTAAGAGTTTTATGGTCTTATGTCTTGATCCATTTTGAGTTTACTTTTGTGTATGGAGTTAGACAGTAATCCAGTTTCATTCTCTTGTATGTAGCTGTCCAGTTTTCCCAAGACCAGTTATTGAAGAGGGTGTCTCTTCCCCATTGTATATTCATGAGTCCTTTATTGTATCTTCATTGAAGGTAACATTTTAAGACTACACTAGATACCTTGTCCATGCTTACATGTTGTTTTGAAAACAAACAAAATGAAACTTTGTAATTAGTAAGAATTGACATGATGTTTCAAAAATAATTGTTTTTATGTGTACATAAATATCTTATCAATGACAGATTTATCTATACTAGAACTGTGAAGACAAACTCCAGTCCCAAATGGAGGCTTGCTTGTTCTTTGGCATCATATGAAATGCTCATAGATTATGAGACATATACCCAACCCCAACCCCACCCCAACCTTTAACATCTCTGATATCAAGATGCTTCTTAGAGTTGATGATGTTTTACTTGTAATTGCTTGCAAATGTACAGACTTGGTTGTTTCTCAGAGCAGCATGAATGGACAAGTGCAACCTCTCAGTACTCAGCCAACAAATCAGTTTGACAACCACATGAGGGATTATCAGTCCTGTTGTCTGAAAATAGTCACCTGGTGAAGCAAGTGCCACCATCAAACCCTGGTGAATGGATATCAGTGGTTTGGAAGAAAATATTGGGGACAAATGTGGAGCCCTTCTAAGAGAATAATATTGTCACCTCTCACAGAATAATATTAGATGAAAAATGTAGATATTGATAACTCATGTCGAGAAGTGACTCACAAGAGTTCAACTCTGTGAATAAATTTTAGGATTATATTAAATTTATACTGCTTGTGTTTTCCTTTTTATGTTTCAATGAGAATTATATATGAAATTCTGTCTAAAGGTCTGTTTGTCAAACATAAGAAAATCTAAAATCACAGCTTCATTGCCAGCATTGTTTTGCCTGTGTTAATACTAGTATGTAGCAGTGATGTAGCTCACAGTGAATGCCATGGACTTAATGAAATGGTACCATATTCATTATTTAAAGGTAGCAGCTTATAAAAAACAGTCATCATATAATACTGAATATGATATTACTAGCTTTAAGTAGGGAACCTGTTTCAACCCTCTTTGAGGCTAAGAAGGTTGTTTAAATTTAATTCCACTACAAGTTTTTGCGTAAATGTGTAATTCCTTGCATCAGAATAATAAGTTCGGGGGGGGGGGAACTAGGTGGCAGATTTTAAGATTGGCTCTAGCCAAACAAGATTTCCTGATGCTTTCTTTTTTATATCTTAAAATAGCACTTTGAGAAATGGGAGTGGGGCACAGAGCTAAAAAATAAAGTGAATTTGTCAGATCTAAATCTCTGGGGCATAGAGAAGTAGAGGACTGAGAACATGGACTTCATATGCTGTCATAATGATTTTATGCTTTTTAAAAAACCATACTGACTTAGCTTCTTTTTCTGAAAATAGGAAGTTAAGGAATAAGTTGACTTTTAAAAACCAACTTAAAAGGCTGAGGCATAAATTATTTGTACAGTAAAAATACAAGGCTTAGATTTGAAGTTTCTCTCAATGGTTGTTGGTATTTTAATTCTTCCCCTGCCTTTGGGACATAAAAAGTTGAATAAACCTTGGCTTGGTGTGCTGAGTTTCCATACCTCTGATCTTTTTTATTAACATTTGTTAACATTTAATTACAAGTTTTTCCCCCTTAAAATGAGCATAATTTTTATGTGTACATTGTGTGCAAAAAAAAAGAAGGCCTAACAATACAGAAATGTATAAAGAAGGAGAAGAAAAAATAACCCCAAATTCTGCACTCAGAAAAACCTAGTTAGCGTTTTATCAGCTGTTTTGGGGAGCGGCACTATGGTATTAATTTGGATTAGGACAGGGAAGGGTTTGGCACCATTATAATAGATGATGGAAAAAGAAATAATCATACTAAGTTATCCTGAAATAAGACATTTAAAATATTTATATGTGGAATATTGTTAATTTAGTCTTGAACATTTTGTTGATTTGGCCTTAATTTAATTATAGACTTTTTAATTCAGAAGAATGTACCATTGTTGTTCTTCTAAAGTTTGTGTTACAGAGTTGGAAAATCCCTCTTTTAATTAAGTGAAAAATTGAAAGCAAAGAATCCTGATTTCTTTGCATTACTATCAAAAGACATAAAATAGATTAAAACTCAGAATTATTAGAGCTCTCTTATCCTAAGATTTTTCCTTCCTTTAGAAGAAAACATTTTTCCATCTGATTTATGTAATAGTTAACCAACCTAATTGCTTTTATTTTGTACAGACAAGATCTTTACTGGGTGTATTTGAAGAAGATGCTACAGCTATTTCCAACTATATGAACCAGTTGTATCAAGCTATGCATCGGATTTATGATGCACAGGTAAAAAGCTGAAAGCTGATTCAATGCTTTTTAAAAATGAATCTTTAAGCCTCTAAGGACAGAGATGGCATTATTTGTTTACTGGTGCCCAGCCCTGTCCCAGGCTCATAGTAAAAATTATTGTTGAATGGATGAATGACCGTGAACTATTTTGTAATACAGAACTGCAGTTCAATTACTAGTGTATAGTTTGTAACACTACAAAGTGATGAAGATTGAAGCATGTGCCCCTTTCCCCAAACACAGTTAAGGGCTTTCTTAATGAAACTCATTGGTAATGGGGCTTAGCCTAAGATTTGACTGAAAACCTTGTGTTGTCACCAGTCATGTTTTAATCGTACAGAATACTTTTTCTTTTTGAGTAGAGGATTTGAAAGTCGTTTATCTCTGTCTAGTTAGAAGATGATAATAAAAATTAGATGTCACTCTAGGGTAGTGAGAAATTAATTTAAGAAGAAGATGACTAGATATTTTTGTTGACTAGGCATAAGATTGGAGGCTATGTTTACATACCTTAATTATAAGCCTTAACAGCAACCTGAGTTCTATTGTAAACTCTTTGGGATTAATTAAGTATACAAGTGTCATTTCTTCTCATTTTCCCTTCTTTTGGGATTCACACTTTCTTTTTATGCTTAAAAGTTGCTGTGATAGTTTATGTTTTTTCCGTGGGATAGGTCTCTCAAGATTTGATTCTGACCATAGAGAGTAATTTATAAAAGAAAGGTTACTTTTGTCATTATATTCATCACTGAAAAAAAACTTTAAAAAATATTTCCTTCATATGGCTATGTTGCTATTTCTGTGACTAGGTCTGTTACATTTTGATCGTGTAGTATTAAGTGCATGGCTTAGTTTCAACATCCAGAGAGATAATCAGTCTTTAACGTAGAATCTCTTAAAATTTTGCAAAGATTATGTACAGTTTACTTGTAGCTTCAAAGCATTAAGAACTTAATGCATAATTTTTATTAGCTAAAAAAACACACACACCTGGAACACTGCTAAAATTCCTTGATGGTTTTGTTTTCATGGTTTGAGTTTCCCTTTAGTTCCCTTTCCAGTGATTTCATGAGGGGTTTAGAGAACGTTATACAGTATTTATGTTAAATGAGGACTAAAAGTGGCATAGGTATCTTCTACTAAAACTTTTCTCTTACTCAGTAATACTGTATTAATTTGAATGCTTATCTTTTCCCATAGAATGAATTAAGTGCAGCAACACACCTGACTTCAAAACTTTTAAAAGAATATGAAAAACAGGTATCATACATGAAAGTTTTAAAAATGTAATTTAAAATATGCATTTATATGATAATATCTGTATAGATAGAATTTCTCATCAAGAAGCCCAAACTTTTTTGAATTCACAGAAGGTAATTTTTATATGCCATTGAAATTTCATTATAGCCCTATGTCTAATTTTAATGATTTGATGTTAGACACAGAATTTACTTTACCTCTCTTTACAAATAAAGAAACTGAGGCTTGCTAAAGGTTACACAACTGGTTATTGGAGGAATTAAAGCTAAACCAAATCTCTGAACTCCTAGTATGGTGTGCATTCCCATATGCCACATTAATTGGTTATTAAGCAAACATCTAATGTTTACTAATGTGAGCTTCCACTATTTTATTAAAATGACGTTTTTAAAGCTTATTCAAAATTTTAGATGTTTTCTGAAGTTATTTTAAAATGTAAATTATAATGTCATTCCCTAAGAAATACAGCACTGGACCTCTTCCTAATCTCTGTTTCTTACTTTTCAGCGTTTTCCTTTGGGTGGTGATGATGAAGTTATGAGCTCTACTTTGCAACAATTTTCAAAAGTTATAGATGAGGTAAGTGCTTATTTTATTTTGTTTGATAAAGCAGTCTTATAATTAAGTTATCAAGTTTGGGTTTTATGGGGAACTTTAATGATAATATGAGTAAATCTCTATTATAAAAGATAGCTGTTTAAAGAAAGATCTTATTTTCACATCTTGGTGGCTATCTCATAAAGAAATACTTTGTCTGATTAAAACAAATTGTTTTCAAGGACTAAGCATATAGATGTGCTCTCTCTGCTCCCAGTCCCTGGGACATTCAGTCTTTCATGGTGTCATTTGATGTAGGCAGAGAGGAGGTGATCTGGGAGCTGAAGCTAGGCTCTTTGTGGTTTTTCTCTTTGCCATCACGCAACAGCTTACCATTCAGTCCACTAATCCTCCTATCCGGAACAGCCAGTATCATTCCTTAATTTCTCTCACTAGTCATCAGGCCCCACTCCCACCCCCAAGAAAAGACCTCGATTCTAGGAGGAAGAAAGCTGGTGAGACATATTTGGAGATCTGCTGTTCTCTGCTAGTGCAGTGAAATCACTTCACATGAGCCATTAGATCAGTCTTTTCTAGTCTCTTATATAGAAAAGCAATTTTTTGAAATATTTCAGTAACTCATTATAGCGAAGTATTGTCACAGATCGATATACAGAAATATTTACAGGGAATGGAGTTTTTTAAATTGTGGTAAAATATACATAATGTAAAATTTACTCCTAATAACATTAGTTCAGACACAGTGTTGTGCAGCTTTACCACTGATGTGCCAGAGCATTTTCTTCATCATCCCAGAGGAAACCCTGTGCCCATTAAGCAGTCATTCCCCACCCCTCCCCAGTCCCTCAGCTCCTGGCAACTACAAACCTGCTTTCTGTCTGCATGGATATGGCTGTTTTGCCTATTTCAGATAAATGGGCTCATACAATCTATGAATTTTTGTGTCCTGTCTTCTTTCAATTAGCAGAATGCTTTCAAGGTTCATCTGTGCTGTAGCATGTATAAGAGTTTCATTCCTTTTTTTTGGCTGAATTAAATTCCATTGTATGAATATACCACATTTTATTTAGGCATTCATCAGTTGAGGGACATTTGGGTGGTTCTCTACCTTTTGGCTAATGTGACTAGTCCTGCTATGAACATTCATTTATAAAGTTTTTTGAGCACCAGTTTTCAGCTCTTTCCAATATATATCCATGGTAGATTACTGGGTCATATGGTAACTTTATGTTTAGTTTTTTTGAGGAACCACCAAATTGTTTTCCACAGCCACTGCACAATTTTACATCCTACCACTAATGCAGGAGGGTTCCAGTGTTTCTACATCCTCACTAACAATTGTTATTTTCATTTTTAAAAAATTATAGCCATCTAAGTTGGGTGTAAATTGGTATCATGGTAGTTTTTATGTGCATTTTCCTGATGACTAATGATGTTGAGCATATTTTCCTATGCTTACTGGCCATTTGTGTATCTTTGAAGAAGTGTGTACACTAGTCCCCCCGTTATCCTCAGGGGATATGTTCCCAAACCCCCAGTGGATGCCTGAAACTGCAGTAGTACTGCCCTATATATGCTATATTTTTTCCTATACAGACATACTTATGAAAAAGTTTAATTTAAAAATAAGGTATGGTAAGAGATCTGTAACAATAAAATAGAACAAATATAGAAATAAACTGTAGTAACAGTGTGTGAATGTGGTCTCTCTCAGAATATCTTTCTGTACTGCACTCACCCCTCACCCTTCTTGTGATAACATGAGGTGGTAAAATGCCTCATGATGAGAAGAAGTAAGATGAATGATGTAGTCATTGTCAAGTAACATTAGGCTACTAATGATCTTCTGATGACACATCAGAAGGAGGAAAATCAGCTCCTTGGCTGCAGTTGACTGTGGGTAACTGAAACCATGGAGCGCGAAACCGTGGATAAAAGGGAACTACTGTGTTCAGACCTTTGCCCATTTTAAAATTGGGTTTGTCTAAATTACTGAATTTAGGAATTCTTGATTCTAGATAATACAAGTCCCTTATCAGATGTGCAATTGGCAAATATTTTCTTACATTCTTTGGGTTGTCTAATAGTATCCTTTGATGCTTGTGCTTTTGGTATTATATATAAGAAATCATTGTCAAATCCAAGGTTATCCAATTTTTTTTCTAAGAGTTTTAAATGGAATTAATTTTACTATATAGTATTTTGTACTACATCACATAATTTTTAGTGCTCTCTTATGTAAAATGTATTAACACCTTACTGGCTTAATTTATGTAACATTGGTTAAATATCCATATAGTTACTTATTTGGCCTTTTGGTCTTTCTTTTACCAGCTTAGCTCTTGTCATGCGGTACTTTCAACACAACTTGCTGATGCCATGATGTTCCCCATTACCCAGTTTAAAGAAAGAGATCTGAAAGGTATTGAGGTCAAGCTAATGTTTCCTTTCCTTAGCTGTCAGAAAATCAATGCTTGTAAATTGCATATTACTCTCTCCCGTTTCTGACTACAGCTTTCCCACTTGTACTTCAGTCTCTAAACATTTATAGGCACTCTTGCTAGATGTTAAACCAGATACTGAGGAACACTGGTATGGAATACTGTGTCATCTCCCTAGAGGAAGCCTAGAGAAGGAGATGGGTAAACAGATAATTACAATACCTTGTCTCCTATAATGAGTAAGCTGCTGTCTGGACTCAGGATGGTGTCAGAAAGGCTTCACAAAGGATGTGGCATGAGCGCTGATAAAGAACAATCTGCCAGGAGAAGGGTCATTGTTCTATTAGAGGGACTAGAAGACACAAAGATAAGAGTGGTAGAAATACATGGCTTGTTTTGAGAATAGTTGGGAAATTCAGTGTGGCTGCAGTGTTGTATGTGTTGGGACCTGCCAGGAGACAAATGTGGAACTAGGTTAGTTGAACCGAGATCATGCTAAAAATGAGAGAAGCCGGTAGAGGTCTTTAAGAAGTAGAGAGACACAATCCCTTTGTTTCTGGAGGATGGAAGAGAGGATTTGGTGTCCAGGACAATGGGTTAGGGAGTTACGAGAGTGCACTGAGTTGAGACCAAGGCCTGAACTGAGACAGTGGCATGTGAGATGGAGGTGTGTTTATGGGCTGGAGAGGAGAAAGCAGGGAGGACATCTAGCAACCCATGACGAAGTAGTTTTCAGTGGTTTATTTTTTTCCCCTTTTAGGATTACTTGGCGATAAAATGAGTTTCATAGGATTGGCTCTGCTTTCTCATAATTTACAATTTCAGACAGTCATACAGACTAATTTACAAAATATGTAGGTAGAATTAAACCTTGAGCCTACTGTTTACCAGTGGATGCTAAAGTGTTTAAATTATATATAGAATAAAGGCAAATGTATTTTAGAGATGGAGTTAATATTTATTGTGGTGATCCTCAGGATGATTATTTCCAAGGTCAAGAAATAAGGTCTCCTTTCTCAGTCTAAGGGAACTGACTGTTATGTTAACAATAAAATGTTCTTTGTTTCTTATTCAGCATTTGAACTTATTAGTACAGTCAGTATAAAAAAATGAATTAAGAATATGGATTCTGGTACAAAGTCAGAATATTTGCATATCTTAGAATATGCAGTGGTTTTAAAATTTTGTTTTTGTATCATATTACTAATTTGTGGCAAAAAGATTTTCTGTTGGTGTAACTGTTGATAATGAAAGTAAATGTTCCATAGACTAACTGAAAACTTAGAAAAACTCTTTTACTTTGAATTTTGAAATATGAAATATTATTTGTAGTTTTGGTTGTAGCTTAAATGGCAGTTACTATTTTCTAAACAAAATTTGAGATATTTCATAAATATGCTAAATTGAAACTATTCTTGAACTTTTCCAGAAATACTGACATTAAAGGAAGTGTTTCAGATTGCTAGTAACGGTAAGCTCAGAATACTTTCTGTAGTTCTTTTCTTATATTCCCCCATGTTTACTTTTTTATTCAAGTATAGTTTATATACAATATTATATTGGTTTCAGATGAACTTGGTGATCCATCAATTATATACATTATTAAATGCTGACTATAAGTGTAGTTACTGTCACCGTACAAAGATATGACAGCATTGTGAGCTATATTCCCTATGCTGCACTTCCATCCCTATGACAAAATGATTTTATAATTTGAAGTTTGTACCTCTTTATCTCTTTCACCTATTTTACTGTTCTCCCACCCACATGCTAACAACCATCTGCTCTCTGTTTATAAGTCTATTTATGTTTAGTTTGTTCATTTGTTTTTTAGATATGACATATCAGTGTAAGCATATGGTACTTGTCTTTCTTTGCCTGGCTTATTTCACTTTTCGTAACACCCTCTAGGTCCAACCATATTGCAAGTGTCAAACGTCAGTCTTTTTTATGGCTGAATAATATTCCATTGCATATATGTACCACTTCTTCTTTATCCATCAATGGACACTTCAGTTGCTTCCATATCTTAGCTAATAATATAAATAATTCTGCAGTAAGTATAGGGGTTCATATAACTTTCTGAATTAGTGGTTTTGTTTTTGTTGGGTAAATTCCCAGGAATGGAATTGCTGGGTTGTATGGTGTATTTTTCTTTTCAGTGTTTTGAGAAATCTCCATACTGCTTTTTACAATGACTGGACCAATTTACATTCCCACCAATGGTGTAGGAGGATTTTCTTTTCTCCACATCCTCCCCTATTCTTGTTATTTCTTGTCTTTTGGATAGTAGCCATTCTGACTGGTGTGACGTGATACCTCATTGTGGTTTTGGTTTGCATTTCCCTGATTAGTGATGTCAGTGTCTTTTCATGTGCCTGTTGGTCATCTGTATTGGATGCCCAGTTTTTAATTGGACTATTTGTCTTTTTGGTGTTGAGTTGTAGGAGTTCTTTATATTTTGGATATTAGCCCTTATCATATGTATTGTTTGCAAACGTATTCTCCCATAGAGTAGGTTGCCTTTTTGTTGAGTTTCTTTTGCTGTGCAGAAGCTTTTTAGTTTGATGTCCCATTTGTCTACTTTTGCTTTTGTTTCCCTTGCCTAGGAGACATATCCAGAAAGAAATTACTAATGCCAATGCTGACGTTCAGGAGATTCCTGCCTGTTTTCTCCTAAGAGTTTTTATGGTTTCATGTCTTACATTTAGGTCTTTAGTCCATTTTGAGCTTATTTTTGTGTATGGTGTTAGACAGTGATCCAGTTTCATTCTCTTGCATGTAGCTGTCCAGTTTTCCCAACATCATTTATTGAAGAGACTGTCTTTTCCGCATTGTATATTCTTGCCTCCTTTGTCATGTATTAATTGACTGTATGTGCATGGGTTTATTTCTAGGCGCTCTATTCTCTTCCACTGGTCTGTGTATCTGTTCTTGTGCCAGCATCATACTCTTTTAATCACTGTAGCTTTGTAGTAAAGCTTGAAATCACGGAGCGTGATACTCCCAGTTTTGTTCTTTCTCAAGATTGCTTTGACTATTTGGGGTCTTTTGTGGTTCCCTACAAATTTTAGGATTCATTACTCTAATTAAGTGAAAAATGCCATTGGTATTTTAATAGGAATTGCATTGAATTTGTAGATTGCTTTTCAGATTATGGCCACTTTGACAATATTAATTCTTCCTATTTGTGAGTGTGGAATATTTTTCCATTTACTTTTGTCTTCTTCAATTTCTTTCAAATGTTTTTTCAGCATATGTTGAGATGAGTGATGCATTTCTTTATTAACAAAAATCTGTGGCCAGATTATATATAATAATTTTTAAAAATTAAAAGATGTTTTTACCAATTTAATAAATAGAAACATACTTTAGGGGAAATTTGTGGTAAACATTTAGGTGATCATATGGGAGGGAATTCTTACTTTGCTTTAGTACATTTGTTGAAAAATACACACATGAAGACCTTTTAAAGCATTTATAAGTTTTGCAAAGTACTGTTGTATTGTTAATAGTTGTCTCTGTTTTTTAGATCATGACGCTGCAATTAACAGATATAGCCGATTGTCCAAAAAAAGAGAAAATGACAAGGTGTGATAAATACTTACTCTGTGGGTATCACAATCAAAAACTGTCCATGAAGGGGTCTGGTTTTCCTGCTTAAGAATAGTAGCCAACAGTTACTTCGTATGTTTTGCTCTGTTGCCTTTAGTTTATTCTTGTAGTTGTTTCAGAGCCTTTCTGACAGATGAATTGTCCCTTTAAACAAAGTATTTTTCTTTCGAGAAGATTTTATAAATATAACTTCTGAAAACGTTAGTTCATGCCCAGTATATAGTACTTGCTCCTTTTGCTTTGTATTTTGATGACACTGTATTTGTTTTGTGTTTATTTGACCATGTATATATTTAAACTTACAATAAATACATGGTCTTCTGAGATCAGTGGTTAAAAAGTTGAATTGTTGCATACCTAACAATGAAATTCTGCTGTGAGAACCATCTCAATTCCAGGGAATGAAGACACACACACACACACACAGGCACAACATGCACACTTGAAGGAGTGAAATCCAGAAATATTAGGCTGTGTTTGAGGAGAAATGCATTTGAGTAAAGAACAAAGAGCAGAATGTAACAAGGTCATCTGGATGCATCTTAAGATTATTGCTCTCTCAGCGTCTACTCCAAGGCTTGATGAGTGGCCTCCGCCAGATGTCGGGGTGGAGTGGCCTCTGGGCCTGGGAGTTGGTGTCTGCAGCCTTGGCAGCAGCTGCTTGTAGGGACACAGTGACATCGCCGGTCTGGGATTGGGGGAGGGTATTCCTGGAAGAAAAACAGCCTTTGCAGAAGCACATGGTAGAGTCTGGGAGTGTAGAGGTTATGAGTACCAGCTCCGGAGTCAGATTGCTTGAGGACAAATCTCAGCTTTGCCATTTATTTGCCTGAGGTCCCACACTAGTTACTTAATTTCAAGCCTTTATTTCATGTTGTGAAGATGAAATGAGGCAATGCATGCAGAGTAACTGGCTTACAGCAAGTTTTCATTAAATTCCAGCAATAATTATTGTGAAAATGGAGTGTTTTATGGAGCATTGGATGTATTTGGGGAGGTGTGGCAGACATGACAAGAAATAAATAATTGGGGCCAGATTACTGTGCTGATGGCTTTGAAATTTGTGTTAGAGGGACTGGGCAGCCACCAAAGGACTCTAAGTAGTTGAGTAATACCGCAGTTTTATTACAGAATAAAAATATTAATGTAAATGTGATGGAGACAAGACTAAAGCAATCCAGTGAAAAGGTATCATTGGAATAATTTGCAAAAACATTAAGAGAATCTCAGCTAATGAAATGGAATGTTATATTAATGAAATAAAATGAAATGTTAATGCAAGTGGGGAGGAAGGAATACTTTTGGAAAATATTTCATAAGTAGAATGGATAAGACATGGTAGGAGGAAGAATAAAAAATGAGTCCTAGAATTCTTGGATGATGGGCTGGATCTTGAAATAACTAAAAGAGCTAAGAAACAAAGAGAGGAGCAGGTTTTGTGGGAAAGATACTGTTTCCAGCACATTCTCACTCTCTCTCTCACACAGACACACGCACACCAAGAACCCAGATGGAGATGTGTTTCCTCTGACACTTTGGAGAATGAAAGGCAGGAGATAAAAATTTGGGAGTCATTGGTGTATTGGAGAGTTCTTGGTGCTTGATTTGGTATTCTAAGGAAAGCAAGAATAGGGAAGTCTATGCATATTACATAGTAGTGGTTCAATAAATACTTGTCTGAATAGAAGAACTCAGGGGAACATACATATCTAAGTGTGGGTGAGAAGGAAAACAAGCAAGTATGAGAGAAGGAACAGGAGGGGGAGAACCAGGAGGAGTGACGAAGATCAGATTTACAGTTAATTCCAAACAATTGTCTGCCTTTCCCCTATGTTGCAGACTTCCTCTGCCATGCTCAGTTTAGTCATTGTACCATTCTTAGCTATTAGCAGAGTTTTCCTCTTAATGTGCATTTTTAAAATGAAGTGGTTGGTAGTAAAACAGGAAAACTACCTCAGCCAATATTTTGCAGGATTCCTAAGATCTCAGAAAACCAGAAAGCTATGCACCAAGTCCTGGGGATGCCCTTTTTCTTTTGGTAGGCTCTTCCCCACAGCCACTACTGAAGATAATTTAAAATTAATAACATTTATTTTACTTTTCATTCCAAGGTGAAGTATGAAGTAACAGAGGACGTCTACACTTCAAGAAAAAAGCAACACCAGACCATGATGCATTATTTTTGTGCATTAAATACTCTTCAGTACAAAAAGAAAATAGCATTATTAGAACCTCTACTTGGATACATGCAAGCTCAGGTGAATACTGTACTGTTTTTAGATTATAACTGTCCTAAAAACTTTATATTAAGTTTGATATTTATATTAAATATAAGGGTATTACAAACTAAGATCAAAACACTCATTTGTGTCTGTGTTTTAAAAACTAATTAAAAAATGTCATCAGAGTGCTATTTTAAGGAAGTTAGGGAGAATGGTTTTCCTTGCAAATGAAGATTTCAAGTATTTTAGGGTAAATAAAACCACTTACCTTATATTTAGCCCTTGTCCATCACAGTTGGAGACAAAGCGAAATGACTTCTGGAGTTGCTTCTATTGCTGGAGCTTCTCCTCACGGCTGCTTCATACTAGATCTGAAAGAGAATGGACAAGTTAGTTTATCTCCTGTTCCTTGCAGAATTCTTGAATTAAAAATAATAGAACCACAATGTCCCAGGAGGTGTGTATCAGGAAGGAGGCTAGAAAATTAAATCTGAGTCATATTGGGCAGCCACTTAAAAAAGGGGTTTAAAGATATCTGAATACTCCTTCAAACATGAGTGCTTATTATTCAAGATATAAAACATTTATCTTAATAGTAAACATGAAATATTTATCCATATAACTTACTTTAAGTTTTTTTAAAAATTTGTTTTTCCAATTTTTATAAATTACTTACGATGTACACGTATTGATCTATAAAAGTGTGTAGAGACATTTGTCTAGCTCCGTCAGTGGCTCCATGCCCAGTAGAAGTCCTTATATACTGCAGCCTATTTTTACACAAATGGGAATGGTCCTTTTTTATTTAAGCATGTATCTTGGAGGCTGTCTATATGATTCACTTGAAGTATTTATGTGTCTGCTTTTGTTGTTCAATTTTCCACCCCCACCCCGTCTTGCCCAGATAAATTTCTTTAAGATGGGTTCTGAAAATCTCAGTGAACAACTGGAAGAATTCTTAACTAATATTGGGACAAGTGTACAGAAGTAAGTTATTTTCTTCCTTAAAATTGAAAGTGAAGTTACAAGAAAAAGTTAACAGCTAAATGCCATATTTAACTGTATTTACCATTTAGTTTCCTAAGGGGTCCTTTTCCCTGCCTTGAGAGTGTTCTCCTGTGGCTCACAGATGCTTCTGGGTTTTTTCTCCATCTTTTCCACAGGGTCTGAACGGTAATGTTCAGAAGGGTCAAATCTGATGCTATTTTAGTGATTCTAAACTATGTTTTATGTTTGGATATAACAGACACAATAGTAATTATCCTTATGTGAGTCATCTTCATAATTATCTGAATTGTGGAAGAATGGATGGGAAATTATTTTTTAAAAATCTTGCTTTCCAAGCCATGAAACCTTACAGAGAGAAAGCAGGTCTTTAGATTCAGAAGTCTGAGCAGTGATGGGGTCACCTTGGGGTTTGGATGGAGATGAAAATGACTGTTGTTTTAAAAGCACAGGACAGTGAGGCATTCAATGTTCCTTCTTTAGTTTTTGAATTTAGTATTGTTTCCCAAAAATCTAAATTTCAAATAAGATGTAAAGCTGTTTTCATGAAGTGCTCATGTTACTTTGACCACTCTAAGAAAATACATACAGAATCCACAGATACATGTTTTTGGTAAGGAGTTCTTTGTGTAGTTGGTAGTCAATCTGTTGTCTGTGTTAGTGTTCGCAGGGAAATGGACAGTGATGTGGAGACCATGCAGCAGACAATAGAGGACTTGGAAATAGCCAGTGACCCTTTGTATCTGCCTGACCCAGATCCCATGAAATTTCCTGTTAATCGAAACTTAACCCGAAAGGCCGGATACCTAAATGCTAGGAAGTAAGAAAACTGTTGCTACTTTTGTATGTTGTTTATTATCCAAGGTATTTGCAAGCAAATAGAGTTTATAATGGGTAACATTGCCAAACTGTTTTGGTTTAACTGAGGGCAGTCTTTTTAGGTAGTGTTATCTAACATAACATATGAATGCTGTGAAATATCATTTCTCTTACTGTATATGTAAAACACTCATTTGTGTCTGTGTTTTAAAAACTAATTAAAAAATGTCATCAGAGTGCTATTTTAAGGAAGTTAGGGAGAATGGTTTTCCTTGCAAATGAAGATTTCAAGTATTTTAGGGTAAATAAAACCACTTACCTTATATTTAGCCCTTGTCCATCACAGTTGGAGACAAAGCGAAATGACTTCTGGAGTTGCTTCTATTGCTGGAGCTTCTCCTCACGGCTGCTTCATACTAGATCTGAAAGAGAATGGACAAGTTAGTTTATCTCCTGTTCCTTGCAGAATTCTTGAATTAAAAATAATAGAACCACAATGTCCCAGGAGGTGTGTATCAGGAAGGAGGCTAGAAAATTAAATCTGAGTCATATTGGGCAGCCACTTAAAAAAGGGGTTTAAAGATATCTGAATACTCCTTCAAACATGAGTGCTTATTATTCAAGATATAAAACATTTATCTTAATAGTAAACATGAAATATTTATCCATATAACTTACTTTAAGTTTTTTTAAAAATTTGTTTTTCCAATTTTTATAAATTACTTACGATGTACACGTATTGATCTATAAAAGTGTGTAGAGACATTTGTCTAGCTCCGTCAGTGGCTCCATGCCCAGTAGAAGTCCTTATATACTGCAGCCTATTTTTACACAAATGGGAATGGTCCTTTTTTATTTAAGCATGTATCTTGGAGGCTGTCTATATGATTCACTTGAAGTATTTATGTGTCTGCTTTTGTTGTTCAATTTTCCACCCCCACCCCGTCTTGCCCAGATAAATTTCTTTAAGATGGGTTCTGAAAATCTCAGTGAACAACTGGAAGAATTCTTAACTAATATTGGGACAAGTGTACAGAAGTAAGTTATTTTCTTCCTTAAAATTGAAAGTGAAGTTACAAGAAAAAGTTAACAGCTAAATGCCATATTTAACTGTATTTACCATTTAGTTTCCTAAGGGGTCCTTTTCCCTGCCTTGAGAGTGTTCTCCTGTGGCTCACAGATGCTTCTGGGTTTTTTCTCCATCTTTTCCACAGGGTCTGAACGGTAATGTTCAGAAGGGTCAAATCTGATGCTATTTTAGTGATTCTAAACTATGTTTTATGTTTGGATATAACAGACACAATAGTAATTATCCTTATGTGAGTCATCTTCATAATTATCTGAATTGTGGAAGAATGGATGGGAAATTATTTTTTAAAAATCTTGCTTTCCAAGCCATGAAACCTTACAGAGAGAAAGCAGGTCTTTAGATTCAGAAGTCTGAGCAGTGATGGGGTCACCTTGGGGTTTGGATGGAGATGAAAATGACTGTTGTTTTAAAAGCACAGGACAGTGAGGCATTCAATGTTCCTTCTTTAGTTTTTGAATTTAGTATTGTTTCCCAAAAATCTAAATTTCAAATAAGATGTAAAGCTGTTTTCATGAAGTGCTCATGTTACTTTGACCACTCTAAGAAAATACATACAGAATCCACAGATACATGTTTTTGGTAAGGAGTTCTTTGTGTAGTTGGTAGTCAATCTGTTGTCTGTGTTAGTGTTCGCAGGGAAATGGACAGTGATGTGGAGACCATGCAGCAGACAATAGAGGACTTGGAAATAGCCAGTGACCCTTTGTATCTGCCTGACCCAGATCCCATGAAATTTCCTGTTAATCGAAACTTAACCCGAAAGGCCGGATACCTAAATGCTAGGAAGTAAGAAAACTGTTGCTACTTTTGTATGTTGTTTATCATCCAAGGTATTTGCAAGCAAATAGAGTTTATAATGGGTAACATTGCCAAACTGTTTTGGTTTAACTGAGGGCAGTCTTTTTAGGTAGTGTTATCTAACATAACATATGAATGCTGTGAAATATCATTTCTCTTACTGTATATGTAATTTATACCATAAACTCTAATTTTTAACTGAAAATGGGAGAAAGCAAGTCAATCCTATGAGTAAAATAAGTGCTCATTTTGAGTATTCCCTCAGAACTGTATTTTATGGGACATCATTATAACACCTGTAATTTGGTAATTTCCAGCCTTGTTTCTTTGTGACGTGGTTTATCTTGTTTCTGAGTTACTATTTCAGGTATGTCATTATTAAAGAGTGAATGTACTTTCTTCATTTAGTAAAACAGGCTTGGTGTCATCTACCTGGGACAGACAGTTTTACTTCACGCAGGGCGGAAACTTAATGAGTCAGGCCCGTGGAGACGTAGCAGGAGGCCTGGCCATGGACATAGACAACTGTTCAGTAATGGCTGTGGACTGTGAAGACAGGCGATACTGTTTTCAGATCACCTCTTTTGATGGAAAAAAGTTAGTATATTTTCCTACTATTAGTAAAATCTATAATATTTAAACTACTGAAATGACAGATAGTTCCTTTTCATTCAGACATTTCATAGATATTTTAGGTTTATTATGTATTAAGATGATTTTCTTTTTAATCTTGTGGAAATCAGTTGATTTTTTTTTTCTGATTTGGTTAAATGATGTCTTAATATTTTGAGGTTGTCAAGGCAAGGTCATATGGTAGAGACCTGTGACTTCATGCTAAGAGATTGGTCACTGAAAATCCTGCATGGTCTGGGGAAGAGCCCTAACTTTACAGTTAGGAAAATCAGATTATGGATCCACTGCTTACTGTGTGGCCCTTCACAGGTTATATAACCTCTCTGAGCTTCTGTTTTTCTACATGTAAAATGGGGGGGGGATTTATAATCCCTACTGTGTAAATTGTTACAAAGAATAGAAATCTAACATATGTAATGTGCCAAGCATGTGGTAGGTGTTAACAATAATGGTTTTTAAATTTTTTTAAATTGAAATACAGTTGATATACAATATTACTAGTTTCAGATGTACAACAGTGATTTGACAATTATATGTATTACTAAATGCTAAGATAAGTATAGTTACCATCTGTCAACAAAGAAAGAAATTTAAATATTAGTGGCTATATTCTCTTTGCTATACTTACATCCCCATAACTAACTTATTTTATGATTTGAAGTGTGTACCTCTTTATCCCATTCACCTATTTTACCCATAACCCCACTCCATTCCCCTATGAAACCAGCAGTAGATTCTGCAAGTAAGTAAAATCTTATGGTATTTGTCTTTCCCAGTCTGACTTACTCCACTTAGCATATTGCCCTCTAGGTCCATCCATGTTGTTGCAAGAGGCAATATTTCATTCTTTTTTCTGGCTGAGTAATGTTCCATTGTTACATACCACATCTTTACTCCTCTATTGATGGACACCTCAGTTGCTTCTGTATTTTGGCTGTTGCAAATAACGTTGCAGCAAACATAAGGGTGCATATATCTTTTTGAATTAGTGACTTTGTTTCCTTCAGGTATATTCCTAGTAGTGGAATTGCTGGGTCATATGGTATTTCTATTCTGAGTTTTTTGAGAAACCTTGATACTGCTCTCTATACTGGCTGCACCAATATCCATTCCCACCAACAGTGTATGAGGGTTCCCTTTTCTCTTGCCATCACTTATTTGTTGTGTGTTTTTTTAATTAGCCCATGATGTTATTTTTAAATGTTAATATTTCTGATCAAATTACTCAGTCCACTAATATTTATATGCCATTTTAAAAAAACTTCTATGACCTTTGCATTAATTGAGAATCCATGGAGTACCCTTTAGAACAAATTTTTGAAAAGCACAGAAAAATACAGAAATGAGTACTGAAAAAATGCTGTGACTTTACTAACCAGAAGCCACAATTAATTTTTTGGTCTACTGCCTTACAGGTTCTATTCTAGGTACATTTTTAAAATAGTTGAGGAACTTCCATATATATAATTTGGACGTGCATCCACTTCCTCAAACATCTTATAATAGCTACATTATAACCCATCTATGAATGTACACCAGAAAGTTTTTCCTAATGATATTTAAGTTACCTGCAGGTTTTTCTGTACTTAATTGAAATACTGTTTTGGATCTTTCTCATTGTTCAGTAGTAGCTTCTGGGTTCCTTAAAAATCATTTTCCTTCTTTATATATGTTAAGATGTTAGGGCTCACTATCTCTTATCAAAATGGTTTTTAATTTCAAATTCCATAATTATATGATGAATGCCCATTGCTGTGTCAGTAATCTTGCTAGATGTTGGGAGTCTCTGTTCATTTGTCAAAATTACCAAATCATTAATAAGTCACTACACGTACCTATATTTAATTTTCAGGTTTTTGATAATGTATAACATGATTTTTCCATTCAAATTCCTGATGTGATTAAAAATTAGTAAAGAACTATTTCTTTCTCTAACTTTTAAAATATTCACATTTACAGACAAGCTAAATATCCCTGTTGGTGATTAATATATTAAAAATTTTGTCTAAATGTATTCCAGGAGAAAAAATAATGAAGTAAAATTAGTGTTTTCTAGAAGGATCACTGATTTGTATTTCAAATGTATATGGTGTCAAAAGTTGAAATGTACTGTCTTGGATGCGGGATACCTTCGTTATAGGCTGTCTTGTGAGAATGAGCACCTGTTTCTGTTTTGGTGTATCTTTGCATATACGGGTTGGTTGTGTATTTGGGGTTTTTGTTTTTTTGATACTGATTGGTTTTATATGTGGTTGCCAAGATAAATTTTCTCAGATCATGTTGAAAATACGTTTTTTTAAAAGTTGAGGGTCAATTTTTTTTTTCCAGATCTTCAATATTGCAAGCAGAGAGTAAAAAGGACCATGAAGAGGTAAAATTTCATCTAGTTAATTTCTTCAGTAGCATCTTAAGATACTTTTCTGATAACAAAACACATATTAATATGTTCATTATAGACATAAAATCCTACTTAATTAAAATGTCTTTTTCATAAAAGTCTGTTGTTCCTCAAGCAACATTCTTAAGTTTCACACAAAATTTTATACCAGAACCTGTGAAGAGACCTTAGAGATCACCTCCCTGCTGTCTTTTTAAAGGCTCAAAATTCAGAAATGACCTTGTGACTGTTACTTTTTGGCAGGCTGTTAGTGTCATGAGGTGACAGTTTAATTTATTCTCTTCTCTCACTAACTCTCTGCAAAGTATTTGCTGTATTAAGAACACAGTGGCAGCAGATATAGCGTGGCAGGCAGGAAGCAGCTGAAGCGTAAAACCATGGGGAAATGAAAGACAGAAAAACAAAAATTTGGGAGTGTCTGTTCTTGCTCACGAATCTCTTGTTTTTGGCTCCGTTTTTACTTCTAGTATACCAAATATGGAAGGTAAGTTACTACCAAGAACTGACACTTCAAAAACTTTGTCTGGAAAAATACTCTTCAGTGAAAATAGAGGTTGATTTTGAGCTCTTTTATATGGTATTAAAATTGTGTTTGTACCAGACAAGGTTAGAAGTTATGTAGAGATCTACCTTTATTTATATCTTGTGGAAAAGAATAGGTACTAAAACTTGCTTTTGGTTTGCAAGGAACCCATGTCTGTTCTGTGCAGTGTTTACCAAAAAGAACATTAGTTTAGTGAGGCTCGTCAGGTGCTGAGATCCTTAAAAGAGTGAAACAGATGTGGGGCAGAGAGTGTTTTCTGTTAATTGTTTATAAACTCAAAAGAAGGGAAGTATGTAAAGTACAGTCACCAGGAATATATTTAGCGCTTAACATTTTTGCATTAGTATTAATGATACCTGACAGTTTGGTGGAGATTAAAGGGGAACTGATATTTAAAGAAATAGAGACTATTATAATTTAACATGATTGTAGTATTTTTTATTTCCTTGTAGGGATTTAAAAGTAATCTGTTCAGTGTGCTTTTATACCTTCAAATATTATACATATATATGTTTACGTGCATAGGAAGGTATTTGTAAGAGATTATATGTTACTTGTAATGAAACTTCTATTTTGGTTAAATATTGAACATTCTCTTTCAGAAGAGAAGCATTGTAGATAAAAATACTAATCATATTTTTCTGTTTTTCCTCTTGCAGTGGATCTGTACAATAAATAACATATCTAAACAAATATATTTAAGTGAAAACCCAGAGGTAATACTTTCATTTTATAGTATCCAGATCTAGCAAAATTGAAGAGCTCTATGGCTTATATAGCTTTTAATTCAGAGTCTCAAGTTCTGTAACCTTTAAAGCTACTCAAATTAAATGTATCGTGTATGAGTATATCTGGTCCTTCTGGAACAGTTATTTCAAAAGGTATTGAAATCAGTCAATAAATATTTAATGGGGCTCAACTTTTGTGTTTAGTGCCCATGGAGAAGGGAGATACAGAAGAAAAATAAGCCATGGCCTATGCCCCCCAGGAGCCTATGTGTATGGGAAGACAAAATTAAAACTTTAAGATTTTATATAAAATAATATATATATAATTGAAAGTGTATGGTGATGACTAAAAGCTTAAGGTTTGAGAATGTTGAGATGAGTGTGGATCAGTTATAGAGGAAACTGTAGATGGGAGATGGTAGAAATGTGAGCTGTCCATGTTTTGAGAAAAGAGAAGACACTGCAGACAATAAAAAAATGAAAGCACAAATGTAGAAATAGTATGCATCTGTTTGTTTATGAAACTAATAGTGTAACTGAAGTTGAAGGTTCTTGCTGGAGAATAGAAAACTGAAATGTGCATACAGATCACCTGGGGATCTTGTTAAAGTGCATATTACATTTCAGCAGGTCTGGAGTGGGGCTGAACTCCCGTTGTGCCCATTACACTTTGAGTAGAAGGGTATCAAACCAGGTGAACTCAGCAGTGTAGGCATAGCCATAGGTGCAGTCCAAACATATAGGCAGAACCAAGGGTGCAGAGAATTTTGGAAGGAACCAGTGGGCCCATACGGCAGGGTAGTTGGGAAAAGACTTGGTTTAGGACAGGAGCTGCCTGACCTCTGCTGGGGCCCAGGCATGCTATGAATCCGGCAGCCTCCCAGGGCTGTGCAGGGCTGAGATTTCAGTGGAAGCAGCGTTAATTTTTCTAGGAAGCCCTCACCCTTCTAAGTCTTCAAACTGTTGTATGACTAGACAGGATTGTCTGGAGGCATGTAGAAGGCTATTATAACTCAGGCATGAATTAAGGGTCTAAACAGGGTCTGAACTGAGTGAAGAGAGAATAAACAATGAATCATAGAAACAGGTAAAAAGAATTTGATGAGTTAGTAACTGACAAATGTAAAGTATGAACTAAACAAAAAGATGACTTTCAGGTTTTAAGCCCAAGTGAAGGGAAGAAAAATTTGGAAGATTTCTGTTTTTATGACAATGGCTGTGAGGTCCTGGGCAGACATGCACAATTTAGATGTCTAGGGATAAGTTTTGAACCAAAGAAAATCTCATGACCTCCCAAATATGAGCAACTTCTGTTGTTTAATCAATTTAGGAGTTTAATCTGAGAATATCAGTATTGGTTTTGGTAACTTGTTCTCCTACCAGTCTAGCTTTTCATTTCTGTTATCTTGGGAGCAACAAAAAATTAAAATGCAAATTATATGACTCGTTAATACCTAGGGAATACATTGGGAATACAGTGATGAATTAGAACAATTCAGGCTTATTGTACTTTCTTACCAATCATCAGAACTAAGTTTTAATCTTTCCCAGATTATCCAGAATTATTTTCTGTATTGAGAGAAGAAATTTTGATCAATTTTGATATTTTTGCTGACTGTAAGACATGGACATGCAAAAATGTTTGGTGACTTAATTTCTCTAATGTAAATACCATTTTATGTAACCACTATTTTAAGTAGAACATTAAGTTTAAAAATATTCTGATGGAAAGCTTTCTTTCAAATTTTGATCTGAAAATATCCATAACTTTATAAATTAACATGAAGGTATTTCTGAGCATAAATATATTCTGGAAAATTATGAAAACTTCAGCATATTTATAAAATATTCTAATATTCTATGACTATTTCCTACTACTTCCAAATTTATTTAGTAAATGTATTGAGTGCCTATATGCTAGGCACCCTGCCAGGTGCTAGCACTACAAGCCTTAATCCAAAAAAATCTGGTAGTTAAAATTTTAAAGAAAAAACTATATCCTACTAATATGTATAGTAGTAGGAAAAAAATCGATTTTTTTCCCCTAATCTACAGGAAAAGGAAACTTAAGTTATAATGTTCTGATGTTCACTATGAATGTTAAGAAAATGTGGAATTACCTTAGTAACTCCAGTTTGCATTTTAGTGTAACTCAAGAACATTCTGGCAATTCAGGCAGGTGTATTCAAACCTTTGGTGTTCTTGCTTTACTAATACTAGTCTTTTAAAAACAAAATAGGAAATTGCTGCACGAGTAAATCAATCAGCTTTGGAAGCTGTCACTCCTTCCCCATCTTTCCAGCAGAGGCATGAGAGCCTGCGGCCAACAGGGTGAGTTGCCAGACTGTGAGCTATTTAAAGAACTATTTGGGCTACTGGAAGTGTCAGCGCACACTTGGATTTTAGCAGTGCTACTTAACTTTCATATGAAATAATTCTCCCAACAACATAGTGTATTTTCAAATTGGTGAATTTACCAGCAAGAGTGCTAAATAATTCCACTGTTATCTTTAGATTGAGGTGATTTAAGTTTTTGAATATAATAATTGTAAAGAAATAAGTCTTAAGTCTCTTGTTAAATAAGTAGCTATAATTTGGGATTGTGTTTATTGAAATTTGTCTTACTCTTAAGTGTTCAATTCCCAAAGACAAAACTAAATGCAATGCCTTTGTTTTCTTCCGTGCTTAGACAATCTCGGCCACCGACAGCTAGAACTAGCAGCTCGGGATCCTTAGGATCTGAGTCCACAAATCTGGCTGCCTTGTCTCTAGATTCCCTTGTTGCCCCAGACACCCCAATACAGTTTGACATCATTTCTCCCGTGTGTGAAGATCAGCCTGGCCAGGCAAAAGCCTCTGGTCAGGGAGGCAGGTGAGTGACAGACACCACAGGGCCATCGTGCAGTGGTCTGTAAGGTTTAAGATTCTGTTTCTGCAACTGAGTCTCTCTCAGTATGTACATCAGCTATATTGTACTTTTAATTGCTTAACATCATTTTGATAGTTGGGGAAGAGTTATACAGGTTTTTCTCTTTGTTTTCTACCTCAAAGATAACTTAGTGTTAAAGATATTTAATTCTGCATCACTTAGCAGATCTACTTCTTAGGTATTTGCTCTTAAAATTGTAGAAGAAAGTTGACAATTCTGTTTTTAGGTCATGACAATATTTTTTAAATTCTTGAGACTAATGTGCTATAGGCTTATTAGAAAATACTATCTTGTGTCAGAATAAATTCCAGGAAGGTACTAAAACATGCTATGAATTATTAATGAATCATCTTTGTTTATAAAATGAGAAATATCCATGTCAAAGCAGTTAAAATTTGGTTGTAGATGAGGGAAATGTAACTTAAGGCAAGTCATTAGCAGGTTGGGCACCAAATAATGTATCTTTACATGGTCTTGACCAAGAAAAAGTAATGTACATTTGATCACAGAAATATACTTAGCATTTGATATAATAGGTCAGACATGTATTAAGGACATCAATTTCATGTCCTTAATGGCATGTTATCTTAATGGCAGTGTTATTTTAGAACCACTTAGCTCTCTACTTACTAAGCCTACTTTGGATTATACTTCTCTCCCTTCATCTTGGGTGTGCCAAGAGCCATGCACACCGAGGAGGGAGGCAGCTTTCATCTCTAGTTAGCTTTTTTCCTTGCATCCTGGTCTGTATGTCTTGACAAATACAAGTTTACAAGTAGAAAAACATTCAAATTATAATTTACTTGTGACCTGTACTTAGAGAACCTAAAAAGTTTTCACAGTTCCAGGACATGCTGGGCATTTTTCTAACGTAGGTAAAATCAAAGCTAAATCAGGTGTTCCTCTGTCGTGGTTTATATACATACATTCAAGCATTTCTGCAACATGGGTTATGATGTTGATTTGTGTACGTGGGTCGGGGGGAGGCTGAACTCTAACCATTTGCATTTTCTAAAATGTGGCAACTTTGAGTTCAGCCTGTCAACTCAGTGTGAGGGCAGAGGCCTTAATCTAGGAAGTTGGTCATCAGTAGTGTTCCTAAGGTTTTGTGATGCTTAGTTTTTAATCTCTGGTTTCAGTGAATAAGATTCCTTCCATGTGGCTTATGGTGACTGACCACTGGTTCATAAATTACTATTTTTAAACTTTTCAGGCGTACAAATCCATTTGGAGAATCTGGAGGAGGCACAAAATCTGAAACTGAAGGTAAAACAATCCTGCAGGATTCTCATATTTTAGAAATTCTCTGCATTATACTGTGTAAACTTGTTTTCATTGGTTCTGCTGTCTGCCATTTTAATGATATCTTTATGCCACAGTCTTCTCTTTCTACTCATAGTACACTTATAGCAACAGAACTCAAGATTTCATTATTTACACAAACTTAGAGAATCATACTTTTGACCACATAGTCAAATTCTCAATGCATAAGATATCTTTTAAGCTTTTTCTAAGTTGATGTTTTCTTATACTGGCAAGCATAACTTTTTTTTTCCAGTAACTATTTATTTTGATATAATTTCAGAATTTTACAGAAAAGCTATAAGAATATTATAAGGAATTCTTTTTACTCAGCAGCACGAATTGTTGAAGCATAACGTTTTGCTATTTGAATTTGAGACCTTAATATTCCTATAACTTGAACACTAGTTAGGAGTTATTTCTAAAGACTTCTGCTAGGTTGAATTTTTCACTGGAAAATCTAAAAGGAGGCAGTGTGTTTTATTCTTAGGGAAAACAAATATGGGACTTAAAAATTCATAATGTACCTTGTTCTGTTGTAGATTCTATTCTTCATCAGTTATTTATTGTCAGATTCCTTGGTTCTATGGAAGTGAAATCAGATGACAATCCAGATGTTGTTTATGAAACAATGCGCCAAATCTTAGCTGCCCGGGCCATCCATAACATTTTCCGTATGACAGAATCACATTTATTAGTCACTTGTGATTGTTTAAAGTAAGTAAGAACCTCTCTTTCAAAAAACTGTAGAAAAAAATGTTTATATAATTCAGGCTAATTAAAATTTGTTTTCCAAAATCTTATTTTAGGTTAATTGATCCACAAACACAAGTTACCAGGCTCACGGTGAGTTCTACGTGTTTAAAGCTTTAAGTTTTTTTGTGCATGTACACATTGTACCTCTTTATAATAAATAGTCCTGATTCTAGATATTCAGATATAATAGTATCAGCTATGATTGATAGTTAGGCTGTTAGGATGAAGTCTACGGCCATCTCTCTGAAAAAAAGTTATAATTTAACATTTCATGTAATTTATAGTAGGAATTAAAAGGTGAACATGATTGAGTTTATAAATGTCTGTGTTGAAATAGCTCCAAGTATGTGCTCCTATTTATTTAATCATTTAATACATTTTTGTTATTGACTTTGTAAAATGTGTTAAATGACTAATGGAAGAAATTCAGTTTTCAACAACCTCTTGCTCTGCCTGGCAATCCAAACCAATAATATTTTTTCTTGGATTATCATGCTGTTAAGAAAAAACATAAGCTCTAATATTGTATTTTTGATATTTTTATAACTTAAAGAGTTGGTCATATGTATAAGAGTGATGTTGCAATGCTTTGAATAATCTGTTTCTGATACTGTCTGGCAGTTTCCATTACCCAGTGTAGTTTTGTATGCTACACACCAGGAAAATAAGAGGCTTTTTGGATTTGTTCTTCGGATGTCAGGAGGGAGAAGTGAAAGTACTCTGTCATCAGTCTGCTATATATTTGAATCAAACAACGAGGGGGAAAAGGTACATAACTTTTCAAAATGTGTTTCTGTTATGAAATATGTATCATAATCAAAGATTTCTGGAAAAAAATTCCAGACCTTGCCTGAACTGAATTGCTTGAACAAAAAAAGCCCATTGCCCTGAAGAATGCTGAGCTGATGAGTTGGTCCTTCTAACTGCAGACCTGTATCTTCCTGGCTGGTACTTTGGCTTTACTAATTTATCCCAGGAATGCAGTGTATTCCAACCACCAACTATTTCTAGATGTCGTCAGCTTAGAGCAGCCATCAGCAGCTGCTTGCTTCATTCTCTGCAGACCTCACTTTATCAGTAATGAATCTGAGTTAACAGGAAGTGGGGTGCACGTACGAGGGGAGAGCCAGTGGTGTCAACTCATAGATGCTGAAGAAAATAAACATCTATGTTTTTTTTCTTCAGCATTGGTTTTAGGTTTTATTCCAGTCTTGGTTTTAGGGCTGGAACATTGTGAAATGAGCTTTTGTTAGAAGCAGTGTAAAATAACAAGTTGTAAAACTAGTCACAGCAGATGTGGATACTTGACATTATTACCTGGATGTGAGAACTGCCTGAGTTTTTTCCTTCTTTTCCCCTTTTAGATTTGTGATTCTGTTGGGCTGGCAAAACAGATAGCTTTGCATGCAGAACTGGTAAGAATCCAAAACACTTCATTGTCTAAGAATGGTCATTAAAGTGTAATACAAGATCTTTCAGATTAGCCAGTAAATAAAATAATTTGCTATGCAGGATTAACAGTAGGTTATATTATACAGAATTTGGATAAATGGCTAACATAGAATGTAAAAATAATTTGAAAAAGTTACAACAGTAGTATTAACAAGTCTAAACTTTTAAAGTTCTTTCACATTTAATTGATGAGTTGTGTTCATCTGTTCTTCAGGATCGTAGGGCATCAGAAAAACAAAAAGAAATAGAGAGAGTAAAAGAGAAGCAACAGAAAGAACTCAGTAAACAAAAACAAATTGAAAAGGTATGCAGTCCTCATGTCTAAGTCTTCTGATGAGATGTCTGTGAAGAGCTTCCTTAAATCAGCTTTGTGACTTTCAGATTTGAATTGCCAAAGGGAATCCTGCTTCTGCCTACCCTGCCCCTTGATGACCAGATGATTCCTAGCGTAGCAGGGAAGGATGACATCGTCTTCTGATAATGATGTTCACATTATAGCTGTACTGACATGTAGGGTGACTTACTGTTTAGCAAACGTATTTGGGTCCAGGTTGTCTCTGTCAAAGCAGGTCTTTTGAGAGGCTATATGCATATATACTAAACTGCCATTGCTGAAAGCCCTAGTGGCCTCTAGGAATAAATATTTAATGTTACCAGGAGTATGGAAGCATTGTCCATCCAACAGGGGAATTTTAAACTAGAGAGATTTGAGAGCAAAATCTGGAGAATGCGTTAATCAGTGATTGATGTGACTGTAAGAGCCCATCACGGGCTATAGCAGAAGCAGGGGAAAAGAGGGGTGGCAGGGATACTTAAGGCAACAGGTCAGCGAGAATCTGCAGTGGACTGGCTATAGGGACCAAGGAGAGAGAAATGACAGGGATGGCACTGAAGTCAAGGCTTCCTTGACCGGTTAGGCCGAGGGAAGGTGACAGCTGGTTTAGAAAGATAACTTGTACAAAGACGGAGAAGAGGGCTGGGTAAGAGTGGAGATGTGGAGTGATCCGTTAAGAGCCTTTCACTGTAGCGCATAATGAGAGAGTGATGCCCTGAAAGTGGTTGTTGGCCATAAAAATGGGGATGAAGATGAAGGAAATGCGGGCTTTTACAGGATTTCTAGAATGGTGCCCAAATCCATTACATTGGTTGGATGTAGTAAGTTTCCAGGATTACGCATACCTACTTACAGCGGAAGGACTGAAGTAGCTTTCAAATACGTATTTTAACTGCATAATTTTCCATTTGACTGCGAACAATTAACTCAGTTTCTTTTCATGTCTTTTCCCCTAGGACTTAGAAGAACAAAGCAGATTGATAGCTGCTTCCAGTAGACCAAACCAGGCCAGCAGTGAGGGGCAGTTTGTTGTCCTTAGCAGCAGCCAGTCCGAAGAGAGTGACCTGGGAGAAGAAGGAAGGAAGAGGGAGTCAGAAGCATAACTTACTTTGGCTTTTTGGTTGATATTTTCCCCCTTGGAATTTATTGACATATACTGTAGTGAAATGGCATAAGGTAACAACTGTGTTGAGATATCAAGGAGGAGACTGAAGTTTGTATTGCTTAACTTCATTTTTTAAAGAAAGATTGAACTTGATGACTTAGACTTGCATTGAATTTTATTCCTTAAAAGCGGTATACTACGCAGTAACATCAAATTCTACATGTCCAAAAGAAACCTGTTAATCTCCCTGAGGTGGACTGCTGGAGAATTATACTTGCTGAAGGCTTTTTTCCTCCAGATTGTGAACTTGTTATCCTGCATTATAACTGGCTGTGACCATAGAAAATCCTTTATTCTTCAGCTTCAGATATTCAGCCTATGACTGCCTTTCTTTCATTAGGAACATTTTGCCCACAGTGAGGAAGCATTTGAGAGAATCAGTTCAAAGCCCTTTATATAGGGACTTCTACAAGTCTGCAAATGTTTTAACATTATTAAATGTGCAATAGACTTTTATTAAATAATGAGAACAGATTTTAGACGTAAGGTTTCCAGTGATGGGGGGTGGCACTGATTTCAGGGGACTCTTGGCGTGCTCGCGCTTCTCTGTGTACTGTCCCTGATGCCAGTGGGGAGGAAGCCGAAGTGTCTTCTGTTCAAGATTGATGAGGCCCTTGGCGTTTCCACATTCTGAGTTCTCAGGTTGGGACTTGAATTATTGCTGCAGAGCAGTAACGGTTAAAATAAGATTTTGGAATTTATTAAAAGGGAATGTTTTTTGTTCATACACATTTTAGATTAGGATTTAACATGTAAAAAAGATGTTACAGGATAATACATTGTATTTTCTGCATTGTGTGAAATAATTTTTAAGGAAAATCAAATGACAATTCAAGAGAAGTTCTATAACAGCTGTTTCCTGCTTAAAGTAAAAATTCCGAGTTTAATTTAGAAAATGTAATCTTTTAAATTTCAGACATAGCACAGTATTTTCATAATTCCATGTTTTGATAAAATACTGATCACTCCTTTATATCCATAAAGGCAGATAGCTAAGATGAGACTAGAATAATTTGCACTAATTATTGTAAATACTTGTACTCTTCAAATGAGTAAAAGTTCTAATTCCGTGAAAGATAGAAATGGAATGTGTGGGGTAGGAGAACTGACCAAGGAAGGGTTTTAGTCTGGTGCCAAGGGTAAAGTGACATTTCTCGACTGCCTACTTATATGTCAGAACTTGATTTTTTTTCTTTATTCAGATTACAGACAAGTTAAATATATTGAATAAAATATTTTATATAGTCATACATTTAACATTTTCAAGAGATTTAGCCTAGCCATTTAGCCACTGAGACTGATCTTACAAGGGAGAAGCATTTTATTCAATACAGTTTTTTTCTTATTAGTTCTCAATTAGGAGTGGCATCTGTTTTGGTTCCCACAACATAGTATACCCACTGTTTTCTGTAGGAATGGGATAGATAACTGTATCTAGCATGATGATATTTTTCTCCATGTGCCAAATGAGTAATAGTTATTTCATAATCATTATTCTAAAGCCTTATTTACCAAACATACAGTGAAAGAAATGTATGGAATACTTTTTGAAAAAAGTTCTTGTGCTTACTAAGGAGAATGCTTTCACAATTGTCATTCCTTTTGTAGAAGTTGCTAATTCTTCTGTGGCAGCACCTGACTAGTCATAGCAGGATCTGCTTTTAAGACCCTTTTAAAGAATTAACTTTCTGTTTAAGTCGTCACCTCACTTCAGATGGAATTTGCCATCGTACAAGGAAGGTGGTGGGCACTGAGAGGCAGTTCTTTTCCTGCTAGGCAGGTCCTCTGCATGGCAGCCAAGTGCTGCCCTTTGTCAGCACCTGCATCAGAGGTGGTCAGAGGTAGGCTAGAGTTAAGGATGAGGGAGACTGGTAGTTCCTTGTAAATCATGTTTTGATAGGAATTTCCACAGTAACACACCATTTTCATAGGTCAGCAAAACGCACTCCATTGCCAAATAGTAGTCATGTTGGGTTTAAGCATTTTAGATGATTCAGCTTCTGTTCCTTTACTATGTAGAACTTTATTTAAGCCTCAACTTTAATAAACTCTCCTTTTGTTTGAAGGCTGCCCATCGGCTTCTGCATAATGTTAAAGCTGATCTTTGTTACCCTCTGAAATCCCTTCTAGCACTTAGATGCTTTGGTGGTAACTGAATTAGATTATGGGATTTTTTCTAAAAACCATCAAGTGTAAGTTTGAATCTGAGGAAGTAACAAACTGATTCTTTAAAAGGGAAGAAATTAATTCTGCTATGTACTCTGCTACCTAGATGAACACTATTTTTGTAACTATGGTAATGAAGTCAGTAGATAGGAATCCATTTGCCCTTGAAAAATCTGCTAACAAGAGACTGAACAGAATCCCCAAAGCTACTTTAGTTTTTGCCACGTCGACAATGATTACTTTGTGTTTAATTTCAAAAGAATTCTCAGGCTCTACCATCTAGGGGTGGTAAGTTTATGCTGCCTTAATTCTTGAGAAAGGACAGTAGGGAATGCATAATAACTTTCTATGTACTATATATAATCTGTGTAGTAAAGGCACCTGGGTTAATTTTGAATTAGATACAGGAACTACAAGTACATAAGGCTGGAATCTTACTATCAGTGCTGACAGGCCCTAAGACCCCATGTATTGTAAAACCTCCTGCCCCCTGAATAAAATGAAATTAAGAACTTTGGTTTTGACAACCACCTCCTAGCATTCAAACTATATTTTAAATATTCAAACACCAACTGTAGCAAGCAAGCCTCTCATTTTATTTTTAGTAAGTTTGGCCTACTTGAGATTTTGTTCTGCATTAACACATAAGGATTTGAAACTGGAACTATATACTTTTTAACTAATCTTTGTGGCTGAACTCATGTAATTTACTTCAGTTCATAGAACTTGGGATTAAGTTATAACATGTGAAACGGCTTTGTGTATTTGGTGATTTTGTAATGTAAGTGAATTGGTTAATTCTTAGTTCACTGATACTTTAATCATGCATATACAATTAAAAATCATGCTCTGTTTCCCTTTAGAATTGGATTTGAAGAACTTTATGTAATGGTGGTACACGTGTGGGGTGAAGAACTTCTTTTTTCTATTTGTCAAAATAGGTATTCCCTGACAAAGCTTCAGGAAATAACATTGTTAGGAGATTTTTAATGTATAATAAAGTCTGTGATTTGTGTGTGTGTGTGTATATATATATATATATATATATATATATATATATATATATAGTCTTTTTTGGTATGAAATATTTGCTATGTACCGAGTTTTATTTCTCCAAATAATTTCAAATGATGCTTATACAGCAGCTGGACTTTTTCTTAATCTGTTATGACACTGTAATTACACATCTAGCCCCACTGCAATCCATAACAGCTTAAGTGAAAAACAAAAAACCCCTCACTTAGTAATTCATCCCTAGTGACTTTTTTCTTTTAGAAAAATAGACTTTTCAATAATTACCCTATACCTGTTACTGACAATGTATATTTGTTACATTTGGTCCTTTTTAAAGAAATTGCTGTGACTTAAAGGGGCAGGTTCTTGTGCAGACCAGCTTACATGGCTTGGGCCTGTAGTTTTGCTACTAATGCATATGCATCCCCTGTGTGCTGTATAGTTTCCTATAGCATTTACTTACCAAGTTACTGGTCATTTCTGTTGTAATTTTGTTTTGAATTTTATAAAAACTTTGTGAAGGTTCAGGGAGTGGCTGAAACTGACTTTAAAATGATGTAATTTATCTAAGTGCATGTATATCTTAAATATATTTGTATATTGACATACATATAATCCACCACTCACTTATAAACAGATATCACAATTTGATTTAAAATAAAAACTTTTCACGGCCAGCTAGTTCGATTTTTTTATGTGAAAACTGGATCTTTAAAGGTAATTTTAAGTCTATGCTAACTGAAATAGTCTATACAGTCATGATCCTTACATCAGAAAGAAATCATATTTCCTTAAGTTGGACTGCATTATTCTGCCACAGAAGGATGATCTTAGTTTCAGGGCTGTAGCTGACGGGGCCTGTGGTGAAGATGGACAGCATCCTCTCTTTTCCCTGTCAGTGTGCCATCTAAATGCTACATAAGCGTGGCTGAATGTCTTCTCCGTTTCTTTCCTCACGCCCCACACACAAAAACGTGCAGATTAATATACACAGAAATAAAAACTTAAACTAACATCTTGCAACTGCTTCTACCAGTAAGCCCCTCCTATGTGTCCAATACCAGACTAGGTTCAGTACCAAAATCATAAGCCATCATCCATTTGAAAACAGTTTCTATTCCAGTGATCACACTGACCAATAAATGGTAACCTGTAGCCAGGGTTTTGTGGAAAGAAGGGACATAGATTTCCCTTAATGATGAAATTTAAAGTTCTCTTTCAGTTGACTGAATTACCCGAGCTCAGTACTGGACTCTACAAGGGCACAGGCATTAAGCTGGCCTTGGGACTTATGCACAAGAATAGCTAACTCACAGGTCATGTACTGGGGGTGCCAGTATTTTATTCAGTGCACTAAGGCTTTTATATATATATGAATTGCTCTATAAAAAGGATTACTGTTTAGAAACCTTGAATACATCAGCAGTGGCATCTATTATTTTGAGCATGTAGAAATTTTCTTACATATTCTTAATGTAAGATCAATACAGTTAGAACTGATGTATTTCAGTTCACTGAAATTTTTACTATTTGGGTTTTAGTGTTTTAAAATTGCCTTTCAGAATGCCAGCCATTTATTGAGAGGCTAATGTTCACAGCAACTTGTTAAAGAATGTAGACTGCATTGATATTTTAGTTGCTAGGTAAGGTGAGAAATAGGAATCATGTCACAAGTCAAATTGTAAGAAATGCAGTTTGAATAATTGTACCTTTACATCCATAACAGTTTGGTTACCAGGTTCCTGTGAGAATTCCTTGTCCGTAAAGGTCATATTCTTTGTAAAGGACATAAGCTTTCAGACGATTGGGTAATGGGAGAAATGACATGAAGACAGGGCAGCGCAAATGTAGACGACCCATACACTTCCGGATCTTTAGGCGGCACAGATGTTTTAGGGAGCGAGGGTTTGCTAAAATGAAAGAAACGCACATTATCCAGAAGAAAAAGAATTGCTTTCTTCTTTTTTTCTGTCTAAGGGTTGCATTAACAAATACATGTTATACTTAGGGCAACCAAGATTTTCACTAATGGAAAATTAAAAGGGAAACAGCTTATCACTTTTCATTGTTACCCTTCTTGTAGTAGGGTTTCAGAGCCATGTCAAGTGAGAGTCCAAAACGTGGCATCAGGTGTGGGTCTGGCCTATGAGATCTGAGGTCCTTAAATCTACATGCATTAATCTACATCCTGTCCCTCAGGGTCAGGCTGAAAATAAAGATCACCACTCAGAAAAATTAGGTGAAAGAAATTCTTAATTTGACTTACATGCTAATATGAAAGAATTTGGTTTGAAGGGTCATTTGATATTCTGTACAGGTTTAGAACTTGGCTTTTTCTTATCCCTGTTTTTATTGCCACTTAACGGCTTTCAATTCCTGTGTCTACAGTGTTTCACAGGATTAGGAGAAAGGTATTGCCTACCTATATAATAAGTATTACCTAACAGATTTTATCTACTGGCAAGTGGTAGTAAGGACAAATTAAGTGTAGTTAATGAAGCCAGTAACTTGTTTTTTTAGAAGGAAAGTATTTTTCTTGGTTTCTTTAGGTAGAACTTTTAACCAGAAGGGAAGAATACCTACAAAACAAGTAAGAATACTATTAGTATTTTTGCTAAGAATCTTACACAAGAAAGAAAGGTACTCACTCAAGATAGAATGGATCTCTGACCAGAGCCCCTGTTTCTGGAGCACAGCTTTCAACTTTGAACAGATTTGAACTTGATCAACGTAATCAAGCATCACTCGGACAACCTTTCCAGACAGATGTTGCAGCCACGATAAAGTTATTACTTCACAGAACTGAGGAGGAAAATCAGAATGATGAAAACAAATGAAAAACTATCTATAGTTTAGCACAGTAATCAAAACAACACCAAACTCAAAGTCAGGAAACAAGGTCTTAAGTTCTTCATGTACAAACCAAGGCATTGAACAAGAAAATCTATTTCTTACCTCTGACACTGGGAAAATAACTATCAAGTCCTAAGCACCATGTTAAGATGTAACAGGGTGTGACTCACTTAATACCTATTACATCCTTCGGTTGGCTGCACATCTGTCTGAAGTAAAAAATGCCTTTCCAGCTTCCTTGCACCTAGATGTGGCCACCTGACTACACTGTAATCAATGACATGTAAGTGGAAACATGAGCAGCTCCCAGAACGCCCTTGAAGAAGAGCAAGGTGGGTGCCGTTTCCTCCCATCCTCCTTCCTGCTGGCTAGAATGTGGGTGGAGTTTCTCTTGTCAAATCATGGAGCTGTCCAATTAGAAGGCCGTTTACTTCTGGCCTTTATATGAGAAGGGAATGAGCCATCTTATTAAAGCCACTCTTACTTAGGTTTTCTGTCATTCACAATGTACCCCCACCTGAATGCTTGAGGAATATGATTTGTTTCTGCTGCTCTTAGACAAAATGCCCATGTAAAAAGCCAAATAGTATTATGTGAAAAGTCAGTAAATGATAAGATGACATGCCTAAATGCCCTAGCCCTAGTTAATCATAAACTTTAAAACAAGCAATATTAAAATATTTGCTTTTTTCAAAGTGCCTTCTCCACTTACACCATTTTACTTGTCAGGGTTTAATAACATGAATTCCAATTATTAATAGTACATCTGTGTGTGGGAAGCACAGACCTGTAAGCTGAGGAAGTGGTGCCAAACAGCTTACATTTGTGTATTTGCTGGGGAGACACATAACCATTAAGACACTAAAAAGAAAATTCCTGGAAGTTAGTACCATAAAGGCAATGAACAGCATTATAAGCTAATGATGAGGGAAGGGAACTACCTTGGGTCAGGTACACAGGGAACAGCCTCTTTGAGGAGATAAGATTTGAAGTGAGACCTCAAGAGTGGCAGCCATTTGCAAAGTCAGGGGAAGAACTCAAGTTGGGGAAAACGAGTGGCCCATGAGGTGCTGGGGAAGCAGGAGTCCGTGATGTGAGAAGAGCCCAGGGAAAAATGCTGCAAGGAGGGAGTGGTCAGCTGTATTTGTGATTCTTTTTTCATCAAAAAAGTGACCGAAGAAAACCACTGAAGTGTTAGAGCTGAAGGAGAGAGCCCCAGACAGGTACACGTCTTGGAAAGCCAGAAGCATTTAGCTAGATAACTCAGTCCTTCAAGGGAAAAGCATAGCTGGCTTATAACACTACGTTCGTTCCTCACAACCTTGCTCAAATGTTGCTTCATTTGTGAAACTCCCTAGGTAGACTTAAAACACTTTTTCCTCTGCACTTTCTGTGCCTTGTATGTCTTCCTACTATTGTGTTTATTTTATATTTATCTTGTTTAAATCTTCCTAACCATAAGCTTCTGGAGAGAATGGGTGGAATATTATCTATGGGTAGTACAGGGCACCAGTAATGGCTACGTAAGGTGGTACCAGCTGATACTGCACACTTACCATAGTATCTTTGATAACTGTAGGTGTCCAGCCATCACAAGTATAGAAAGGATGAACTTTGTTTCCATGAGGACAATCGAAGCATCGCTCTGTGTCATACCCATAATTCAACAGCATCCTGAGCATGACTTCATCTTTCAGCGTGTATTGCAGCGCTGATGGGAAATGCAAAGGGTTGACTCTGCAGAAGTAATTGACGTTGGCCCCATGGCGTAGCAGCAGACTGATCAGCTCATAGTTGCCCATCCTGAGGGCTATCTGGAGGCAGTTAACCGGGTCTTGATTAGGCAGAGCTCCAGCACTCAGAAGCAGCTTGACTGAAGAGAGGTCACCATTGGACACCGCAAAATACAAAGCTGACTTTCTGTGGTCATCATAGTGTTTGCGGATTCTCTGATCTAGCATGAAGTTCACATCAAACCCAGCCTGAATGAGGAGCTCCAGGCACTGGGGGTGTGCTCCTGCAGCGGCGCAGTGGACTGGACTTATGCCACTCTGCTTAATGGCAGTGAAGTCCGTAACTGGAACCAAAACCTTTAGAGCTCTGAGAAAGAATTTCAAAGTACACTTAAAAATGGTTTTTGTTAAAATGCAGCATTAACTTGTTTATGACAGTTTATACTAGCACTGGATGGTATTATCAGGTGGATTTAGGACTGCCACCCAGAAACATAATTTTTACATCCAAACACTCACAAAACAAGTAAAGTTAAATTATACTGTCTGGATATAAAACCTAGAATCAGCCTAGTTGGTGAGAACTGAGGCTCCCCATACTTCCCTAGGACCTGATGATAGAATCATTTTATGTCTCTATGGGGGTCACACAGGGGGCCTGACTTGACCCCTTTCCAGATGGTTAAGAGTATCTTATCTTTAAAGGGGTGTTGGAATTGTTGAATCAGAGATGAAGACCAGAAGCTGCTCCAAAAAGCCCTCAGAGTTAGTACTATTTGTTGTTTGCAATAATGTAACTGAACTTACAACAAGTGGCCTCTGTCAGCTGCCACGTGAATGGGCAGGTGGCCTGAATTCTTAGGGACGTTGGCATCAGCTCCATGTCCTAGCAAGAGAGTCACAGAGTCTGGATTTCCTCCGCTGGCAGCTTCAAGTAAGATGGAAGAAGAATCCGAGGCCTGACCGAGAGGATTGGCTCCTACGAGGAGAGAGGAGTATTATGCAGAAAGTCTTTAATGCTTCACCACTACCAAAAAACAAGTACTGCGCAGCCCTTGAGGAAAGCGCTAAGATCAAAGAAATCAACTACATACTTCCACTCTCAGGTAGTTTATAACCTAGTTGGGGAGGAAATAAATGGTACAAGCAGTCTCTGAGTTTTAAGTTGGTTGAGCTTCAGAGTAATTTTACACGTTATTTATGTGGAACTACAAAAGCTTACCTCCAACACCCTTATCTACAGCATGGTACTGACAATCCTGTTGAACAGTTTCAGCACATCATCTAATGATGTTACAGTGGAAAACACTATTTGTTCTATTTTGCCCTGTTCTTAGGGAGCTGCTCATAGCAAGAGACGCTGTGGTGGTCTTAGTTGAAGGAGGGGATGCTGACTGGTAAAAGGATAAAGTGTACCCCCTGCTGCGCCCAGTGCCACATGAGTGCTGTGGGCAGAGTACAGACACAGGCAGGGTGTCCCCCAGGAGACTGGGGGGCTGGGGCGGTGAGCAGGGCTGCAAGGTGGAAGACAGGAGCTCAGGGCCGGCCAGGACTCAGGCTTGGGAGAAAGGCTGGCATGTGCATGGACAAAAGAAAAGGAGCGTTCGGGGACATTCACAGCTCCTATAAAAACAGGGTCGACGGGACTTTAGTACAGACTCCATAGTTGTCAGCATGGGGTGGCTGCCCAAGAACCTGCTCCCAGGATACAAGAAGCAGTGTCCAGCGGGCCTCCGTGTAGGGAGTGTTCACTGTGTGTCGGCTCCCTTATGTGCACCAATTCCCAACAGCGTTTACCTCAGGCTGTTGTGAATATCTCCATTTTAAAGATGAAGAAACTGAGGCTCAACGACATTATGTGATTTCTCCAGAAACACTGCTAGTAAGCCAGGTGGTCAAGTCACTGTTCTTGTATAGATGAAGGATTCAGTATTTACTTTTGGTATTCCAGCTAATGACTTTAGATATCTCTGGTACTGCCATTTAAAACATCCTACTGTCTTACAGCCACTTACCAGAAGCTAGCCTCCCCTGTGTAGGAAAGATTTAGGGAAGCCTGAAAAACAGCAGGTTGTTCCTAAACGTAGCCATCTCTGCGGTCTAGAATACTGTGGACCAGAACCATTATTGTTAAAGAAAGACAATGTCTGGATACGAATGGGAAGGAGAATAAAGGTAATTCTAATATTGGGACATTGTTAAGTCTTGGTATAGATTTGCTTCTTTGAAAAAAAGCTTTTGAGACACGACATTTGTCTAACTGTTTTCAATGGGGTCTCCGCAAAGACAAGTGTGAAAGCTGTGTGGGTGGGCCAAGGTGTCTGCCGGTTAAGCCAGGATCCGCAGTGGCCACAGCTACGGCATATGGGTGGCCAGGGAGTGAAGTCCAGCAACTGGTACCGTTCCTAAGCCCAAGTGTGAAAAAAGGACAATGCCTGACTCACGGGGCGTTTACAAGATGACATGAGGCAGTGTAGACAGCTTAATGCCTGGCGCTTAGAAAGTGCTGAGTGAGTGGCAGTTTCCCTTCTCTCAGTTTTGGTTATTACTTGAGGGGGAACTGGGATCCAAAGAGAGACAGCAGGACGAGTTTCCTAACAGCGAAAGCATCTGGTAACAGACCGCCCTACCTGGTGACTCAGTTTAGGCAGAGACAACATGGAGGGGGTGCTCTGGGGTCCTTCACTCTATGATTCTAGAAAAGGATGACAACACAGAAAAACCACCCTCTTAACATCATCAGGGAACATTAAGGTAAAGACTAACTGGCCTCCTAGTAACTTGAGGGAAATTACTTCACACCTAGTATAAAATATTCAATCTGTGACTATTTTACTATTTTTGGCTTTTCAGTAGCCAGTATCAACACATACTCTCATTAAGCATTTTGATTAGGCTTGAATAAATGTTAACTCGTTATTCTGTAGCTCCCCATGAAGAGTGTGCTTGGCTCGCACTACCCTGTGGTAGTGTGCTGACCATAGAGAGAACCTTGCCTTTCTGCAGGAGCAGTTCCATGACTTCGGTGTGTCCACATTGGGCAGCAAGTGCAAGAGGGGTGAGCCCACAGGAGCTCTGCGGGTCAGGCTGTGCCCCGGATGCCAGCATCAGCTTCACCATGTCCTGTCTGCCCAGCTTGGCTGCTTCATGGAGCACTGTCCGCTCGTTGGCACACCGCAGATTGACGTCCGCCCCATGGCTGACCAGCAGGGAGGCCATGTCGTAGGAGTCCCGCACAACAGCTGGGAAACAGGTACTATGTTCAACGGGAAATTAAGGCCAGAGTATCGTCTCAACTAGCTACCCTTCCATTTTCCCAAGGAAGAAGAATATGCCAGTGTTTTGTGTTTAGGAAACAGATTGTAAAATGAGGCATATGTCAAATGACATTAGCAGTATTATACACATCAACAGGTTACTTGTTTTCTGTAAGCCTTGAGCAATTAATCGCTCACTGTCCCTGGCTGCTTCTGTGGCTGAAAAACCTAAAAGTATAAAAATTTTCATTTATCAATTTATGTTCTCAAAATGGAAATTAAAGTACCCAGAATGACCCTACAAGTGCTTGCGCAGCTTTAAACAAAGAAAGACATAGCAATACTTAGGAAATTGTATTTAACCTCACATTCTGTTAAAATTCCCTTAACTGGCTTTTCTGCGTTTATGCTGTTAGTTCAGAAGTGGATGATAATCTTTAAGTCCTTAAAGATTCTAGCTTACAGTGCTGCAGAAAGCACTCTAACTGCTTCGAGATTGGAAACACAGAGTACCAAGGGCATTGGGTCTTTTTAAATTTACACAGGTGGGACTCGGCATGCCCTCTCATTCTGGAAACACATGCCCTTTGTTTTAGGAAATAGTTCCTTGACTTATTCATCAAGATACGCTGCCTCCACCTTGTCCAAAACATTCCTGTTACTCATACGCTGCTCCTCTTAGATGGTCCTGGTTTTCTTATTTCTCTTCTTTCCTATTTTCTATTTCTCTTCTTCTTCTGGAAGCTTTCCTAAACTGTATGTCCCAGCACTTTTTTTTGCAATCATATTTTTAATTTTTAAGAGCGTTTTTTGTTTTTTTAAATTTCTTTTGGTAGTGTTCTGTTATTTCATTAATTTTCATTAGTTTCCCTAAGGGAATTTATGATAATTACCCCTTACATTTTATTTTCCCCAAATAATCTGTTTCCTCCAACTTGTTGATCCCTGTTTGTTGAACACGTTTTTCAGATAGTCTCTTGGCTATCTGCTCATGATTAAGAATTGGGACTAAAAAGCTGACTGGAAATTCTACACACTAGGAGAAGCTTGTGGATGGGTCTTAACTGTAGGCTGTGTGCCTGGGCACTTGTTAGGGGAGCCCCGGCCCCAATTTCACTCTCTCCAGTTCTTTCTTCTTGGGCCAAATTCCCCAGAGAAGCTGCCTCTGGGAGGAAAGCTCTGGCTGCCGGCTTACCAGAATCCTGGTGCAGGAGGAGGGCTGGGAGTCTCAGCCTGCTTGGTAAATTCCTCCCATGGTTTCAATCCAGTCCTCCCGCCCTCCCTAACATCCCCTCGTCAGACAGCCTCTGTTTAAACCATCCAGAGAATGACTCTGCAGCCTTCCACTGGGGGCAACTATTGCCAGCAACTTCCAGGCCATCTGACAAAGCTGCACTGTGTCTGGGCTTTCCCCCAGCCAAGGTCAGCTTTGGCTTTCCTGTTGCTACTCATCCATCTATACTTCCAGTTTTAAAAAATCACGTTGCCCATTGTGGAAAGCAGTATGGAGGTTCCTCAGAATGCTCCAAATAGAAATACCATTTGACCCAGGAATTCCACTTCTAGCACTCCAGTTTGAAAAAGACAGATGCACCCCTATGTTTATTGCTGCACTATTTACAATAGCCAAGATATGGAAGCAACCTAAGTGTCCATCAGTAGATGAATGGATAAAGAAGATGTGGTACATATACACAATGGAATACTACTCAGCCATAAAATAAAACAGATCCTACCATTCACAACAACATGGAAGGAGCTAGAGGGTATTATGCTCAGTGAAATAAGCCAGGCGGAGAAAGACAAGTACCAAATGATTTCACTCATATGTGGAGTATAAGAACAAAGAAAAACTGAAGGAACAAAACAGCAGCAGAATCACAGAACCCACGAATGGACTAACAGTTACCAAAGGGAAAGGGACTGGGGAG